AATGCACAATCTTAAAATCCTGTTCAGCTTCATAAACACCTCCAGGTGAACCTGAAGCAACTGCCTATTTACATGCACTTTCGCATTCTCCTCACTTTCTGTTGCAGAAAATGGAGCAGCACTGAGCCACAGCATCTCAAATCTGGGCAATAAATTCAGGAAAATGAAGCCTGCAGTTGAAGATAAGATTTGGAAAACCTTCCCACTGTCTGTGACTGTGACCTTATTTGCTATCAGTGGCTGTTTTCGCATTTTTGAAGCAATATGCATTGCCTTTCAAAATTCTGAAACACACAATAATATTGCAATTCAAGCTTATTTTGTACATGTATGTAAATATGGCTACCAATTCTGCAACCTCCAGTTTACATTAGGTGAACCTTGTTATTCAAATTGCTACGAATTAGAAACAAATAATTTTTTCAGTAAATAACTCAGAATAGATGTTTGAAAGCCCATTTGCTAAATTGTTGGATAAGGTAAGTTTTTTTGGGGGGGGGTTTGTATTTTGCTTATGATTTCAATATTTGATCACAATATGAAGGAATTTGCCAATAACTTTGATAAAAAACTTATACGGATCATTCTATAAATTAGGGGTCCAATTTTTTTGTGTCTTTGTCACATCTGACATATGATTTTGTAAGTTCAGAACACATTTTCTGATTTCCAAAAGTGATGAATTAATGCAAATTACATGTACATGTACCTACATGTAACAAACATGTAGCAATAATTTGAAATCAATTTCAGTGAAATTTCCTTGTCAAATAATAAAGGTCAGATGTAACAGGGACACAAAAATGTCACACTTTTGGACCCCATAATTAAGAATGACCCATACATGTACCCCTTAACTGGATGGATACCATGTATCCCTTTTCCCAACCTATTTCTGGCACAAACAAATGATGCTTAAGATATAAAATATGTCACATTAAAAATTGTAATCACCCACTGCTCTTTCTGATTAAAATTACACAAATGTGAAACGCTAAATTTCAATTTTGCATGCAGTTCATTACTTCCAGATGACATGTCAAATGTTGCATTCAAATACGGCATATATACATTTCAATGCATTTACTCAAAGTCCAATCTTCATCCAATCTCTCTCAGCAGTAACTATGGAGGCAGAAGAAGAGGGGGGTAGAAGCTCACGATAAAATTGCCTTTCATTCTACGGCACGACATCAAAACACTGCACTCCAGAAAGTAAACACATTTACGGGCGGCGTGCTTTTAATTTCAGATTTCAGCACTCGAAACTGCATCATTCATCATGTAATGTCAACTGAGCTGATATGGGGGAAAAACAATTTTGGGACCGGCCAAACTGGTGGGACTTTGGCCCCCATTAATACACTGATGCCGGGCTAGCGGAATGTTGTCAATAATTCAGTGTCAACACCAACTAAAAGCTCCTGCCTCTGCCTGTTCCCGTAAATCAACAATTTTCTAGCTCAGGAAAATTGCACACAGCATGATGTCCCACTTGGACAATACTACACAGGTGTGGCAACACTAATCAAAACATTTAGGGTTTACATGTGCTGGTGAAATTTTCAAAAAAAGTGTCAAACTGATTGTAGGAATGCCAACACAGCAAATCCTGAGACTTGTCAAGACCATTACTTTGACTCCCTCCCCCGCCCCCTTTTGGCAAGTAACAGCAACTTCCACATGTGCCTGGGATCAGTTAGGTATTTGAGTGCTGTAGCACTGTGTGCTTAAGAGCCCCATGAAATTGGGTCCTGGTCACAGGCATGCTTTGGAGTCAGGGCCCAATTTTCATCGGTCGGCTATAGAACAAAGACACAAAGCATGCTTAGCAAGAATGCTTACCAGCCAAAAATCTGGTTCTGTATACTACTTGCCACTGGCACTCTATTACTTTTTGCTTAGCAAAGAAAGTTGTTGGACAAGTGTTCCTCATATGGGCCCCATAATATACCTCTTTCCAAACTTACACATGTACCCTATTTTGATTGCATGACCCTGAAAATGTAAAATTGGAAATAAAGAACTCTTGTAATTTGAATGACATGCAAAAAGGTTCAAGAGGCTTGAAAAGCTTTACTCCTGCAACAAGTACTCTATCAAATTTTCTTCATTTCATTTTAGAAACAAAACTCTAAACTCTCTTGCTTCTTTTTTTCAACCTACATGTAACAATTAGCTGCCATGTACATGTATGTGTAATAGAAAACAGATTTTTTTTCTCTTTATGGGTCAAAGTAAGCCCAGACATCAACAGTCATTCAAACAATACATACATGATGTACACTTCTTCCAATCAGCTATCTATTATTGGTATAATCTGCCACAGCATAAACACAGCATCACACAGCTTGATAATTTGGTTCGAAAATATTTCTTTCATGTCCCTGTCACATCTGACAAAGAAATTTGCAAGTTTGGAACACAGGACTTCTTTAATTTCTAAGAGTGAATAAGTAATGTAAAATACATGTACCTGCCAAAAAATAAATGTGGTTTAAAAGTCGATCTCATAGACATTTCCATGTCCGTTTCACTTTTGGACCCCAAATTCCTAGAATTACCCAGTTGTCATATCATCTTCAACAGAAGCATGGGTACTGATATATGTATGTTATTCATGTACTTACAGGCTGTGAATGAAGCACACTCTTGTTAGTCTGATACCACTGGTAGACTTTTTTCAAGTCTTCCTTCTGTTTCATCCCAGTGGTGCTGAAAAAGCAAAGGATAACCTCAGATGCAATATACCAAATTTCAATGTATGGATAAGTCAGGCTGGGCAAAAACTAATGTTGTTCAACCTGTGATACATCAGGCCCAGACTACACAGACATCACATTGACACCCCTGGCAGATTCATTAGCTTGGCACAGCGGAACTTAAGCTGAGTCTTCCACTACGTACATGCAGACCGGGTCTAAATCTCACTGCAGCTGCCATGTTGACTGGATCTCCAGTCCCTGCCTGTTCCAAAATGCCCAACTCCAAGAATCATCTTTTTTTTCTGTCTGACTTTCTTCAGTCTTCAGAGCTACACATAACATGCACCTGACCTTTCGAAGAACCCCAAAGTGGTGCCATTACAAGAAAGGATTGTTGATAAAATTAAATCAATCTTAGGATTTGCCATTTCCATATACTTAATGACAAGACACAAACAACAAAGACATGTAGGATACATGTGACATGATACATGTGTCAAAAAATGTACTTTGCATCAGGGAGATGTTAATTTTCAAAAATGGGTTTTGCCCTTACAATGACGTACCCATAGGTACATGTATGTATATTAAAAACATAGTTCAGTGTTTGTCCAAGAGTTTGCGAAAAAAAAAACCTGAGTAGCTTAATCAGGTGGGACTCAGGTACTTTTCTTAACATTTTTAACCTTCTGCCCCCATCAACCAATACATTAGAAAGAAAAACATATTAACTACCATTTAAAGACAAGAAATCAGTTGAATAATATACCTTTATGCACTCCTATTGTTTATTTGTTTCGCTATCGTTGGTCTAAGAGCTGATGAACCAACATGAATCGCAATAGGCTTTGATGGGTTTTGTGAAAATACACCAACAGTAATCAATTCACTCTACAAGGACTGCCTCCTCACTTTATCCCATCCAGTTAGCACACACAGAAACAGCAAACACCTCCAAGGCAATTCTCCTCTGGACTACATTATGTGTATCTCCAGCCATTCTAACCCCTTCAGCGATACACAGTACCCTTTACAGTCTGCTTCAATGCACTTCACAGATGCTCTCTTTAGGCCTTTAGGATACATGTGCACTGAAACTCTTTAATCGTCAAAAGAAGAGTGAGCCCCTTCAAAATCCCTTTAGATGAATGGTATTAAAGTGTGCAAATAGTTCTCTTGGGAGTGCTGTGTAGCTCAGTCATGTCAGTTAGGAGTATCCACTTTGGGAAATAATATTAGTCTCTTTTCCCACTTTAAAAAATCCCCAAGGGCAACTTTTGTCCCACGTTGCTTCAACACAAGTTATATATATTTACACATCTGCTTTTCGAAGGGCCCATGCAATATGTATAATTGTTTTTTACGGCAGTCCTTGAAAAAGCACATTTGTGTCCCATTCAATCTTTAATGACAATTTTGTCCTACCACTTTTAAAAGCATTTGGTGCCTTTAAATATTCATGCTTATACCAACATGCATATTTAGAAGCAAAAGTATGATGACTCCAGACAGTCCAAATTTTGGAGTCAACAAGTAACCAGCTGAGTGCTTTTCGAGTACTTTTGACATAAAAACTTTAACTTGATTACACAGTGATGTCTGAAGCCATGATTTTTATGCATAGATGCTGTCTAATGCCCATGTTCTATGGCTTTGTTCCCTCCTAACCAGTTCAACATTTGGCAAAGAACTTGGCACTCAAAAAGTACGAGCATTATCATTTCAAGTGCTGCCTTACATGGTGACTTCGTGCATCATACGGATCAGAATGCGGTAGAACTGCTGGTCTTCCCATTGCTGGTTGAGTTGATTGCGATCCTTGCACTGGAGGGAAGACAGCTTCAAGTCCCGGTGGAATCGCTCCACCGCTGCCAATAGGGAGCTGAACTCATGGTTTCGAGAGAGCTGTGGTGGCATTCAAACACACACACAAAAACATTAGCAACCCTGATAAGCCTGTAACATTTGTACTTTACAACATCTATGAAGTTTCAATGAATGAATCTAAAAAAAATTGGTTCTCGAGTAATTTTCTAGTTTTAAAATATATACCCTACCTAAATAGATTTCGTGTAAAATTTCTTGGACACCGGAGAATACTTTTTCATCACTGTAAAGACATTTCAATGCATACATATAATCTTAACTTGAAAAAAAGTCCCTGTGGCTTAATATGAATCCTGTCTGAATCTGCATAATACTGTGCACTAAGATGACTGGTTAGGTCATCTTAGACAAAAGCTTCACCATCAGATCCGCTTCAGCTTCCGTAATTTCCGTAATTATGCATGCTTAAAATGACCTAAACAACAGCGGACCGGTCATGTGGGACTGCTATGTTTGCCGCCACCAAGTGTCTCAAAAGTTTCCCATTGTTGGAAGTTTCTTCCTCCTTTTGGTTTTACAGATGTGAAAGCTCGGCAAATCAATGGAAAAACTTGCTGTATAACCAGTGAGTAACCTTTGGGGTCATCTGGGTAAATTCTCAAACTGCACATCTCGAGTGTTAAGACTCAACCTAACAAAATGAGTTAAAAGTCATTGATGCCACGTTTAGAGTTCAAGGCCTATATCTTGTTCAAGTAAAACCAATATTAGGCACCCCCAATATTTCTCACCCAGAAAATGTCCATTCGCATCAGAGTTCTGAACTGAGTAACAAACAAAAGCTGATTTTATTTTCTAATACAAACTAAAATATAAATTACTTTGACAATAACCATCTGACCCACTCTGCTTTGACTCTGACATTAAAGTTGGCAATCATCCAGTGAGAGAGACTGATGCACATGTACATGTATGTCAACTAACTACAGAAATTTTTGAATGACTTTGGCATCCCATGAAGTGGCAGTTTGTGAGATTTGGTAGTAAAAAACACGGACAAGGTACAAGTAACACTGTACAGCTAAGCATGATGAGTACATGAAAAAGTCACACGCTGTCAACTTGTCTCATAATGTGGTGCATGTTTCTATTGATTCTTAGCCCATTTTGCGGTATTGTGAGGAATTCAGGACAAAAAGGGAGAGTGGGGAATGTTACACCGTACAGCCCAGCTACCGTTGCTTTTCACAGGCTTTGATGTTCCTGAAAGGGTAAGTTTGTAAAAAGCTAGATACACTAGATTGTTCCCTCAATGTGGTGGATTTTGGAGGATTCACGGAGGTTCCTTCAGACACCGCTAAACATCTCACAAGTTAGGATTGAATCTCTCTGTACATGTAAATCAAATTACAACACTCAAAGTGAAAACAAAGGCATCTGAAAACTGGGACAATAAATGAGTGAGTTGGCAGTTCATGAGAAGCATGTACCCGTGAAGGGGTATTGTCCGTGTAAGCAATGCCACAAGTAACGCTCTGAACTTGAAGCTTTATCAGTGTTTACATGAAAAACCTAAACACCAGGATGAAAGGCACTGTATATGTACACTTCACCTGGCCCAGCACACAATAGGCATTGGGGGATAATCAAGGCCTATCACACCAACAGGAGGCTTGGTTGCTAGGGCCTTGTTTACATTATATTCAGTATTCCACAATTTTAAGGATTACGTACATGTATATATAACAACTCAAGAAAAACGTAAGCTGCATTTATCAGTAACAGCGATAGCTACTGATATGGCCCATTGGTAAAACAGCTACTTTGCTATGCAAACTAATTGCATGTAGGGTATTCAGTGTAAGCGCTCACGAGAAACAAGTTACCATTCAAAATGTCATGCAATGAATTCCCTGATTGGGAATTTTTTTATTTGTTTACCAGCTGACTTAGCACGGCATTTCTAAAAGCAGAAGCTTCCATGGATGCAATCTTCTTTTTTCCCCCAAAGATATAAGCTTTCAGTCAAATTGTTTTCCGTACGTAGGCCTATACATATAAGTTTGCATCTTCTAGGTTAATGATGACACAGTTTCACAACATCGCAAAATTGGAATTTGCTTCTCAGTGGAACTGAGTGTACATGTAATCTTCAAATTTGGACAGAAACCCTCCCAGTGCTTAGTAGTGTGTACTTTCTTCCTATGTACATACACTGTACTCTCTTGAACTGGAAACACTTAAAAAGTCTTTCTGTAGAACTGCAAGCCGGTTCTTCTCAGAGTCTCGAAAATACCTTATCCAAATCTCTGAACCAGCCATGAATAAGGAGAGAAAAGATCTGTATGCCTATTCCAGTTACGCGTGTATTTGCTTAACACACACCCCATATTTGCCATCGCAGCACCTGGTATTTGACGCTGAGGCTGAAAGAGGGTTTTAGGTCACTGCTGTTAACTGTAACACAAGTCAAATGCTCACTCGCGGTATCTGTGAAGCATGAGTTATGCAACCACACTCTAACCTGGATTGGCCAGGAAAACTATGTTTCATGAGCAGGCCTACCTTTTAGTGCACTGACAGGCTTCATCTTAACCTTTAAAGAACTCAATTATTTTCTTAGCTGGGAGATTTGCTCCCTTTATCTTAGCTATTTGTGTATGCCCCACAAAAGAATTCATGGAAACTTGGCATCCAACGTGTACACGTGTGGTACGGAAAGGTATCCAACATATTTTTTACATAAGTAAAGTTTCAACTCAATTGGATGACTTTTGCTGTTATAGTTGTTAAAATTGATAATGTACAGACGTTTGTTACAAGCACATGTATAGTGAATGCAGAAAATCCTTTGCAGCTGCATTTTCGAGCGGCCTGTGTTTGAAAAGTGGACCTTTCTTGAGAATGGCGTATTCGAAGTTTAGAAATCTTACAAAGGCTCAAAGGATAAAAAATGTTGCAATGACATCAGAGAAAATGCACAGAGATTCTGCCCTTTCCCAAACCTCCAGCCTTCTCAGGGTAATCACTTGCTTTCTGGCTGTGTACATATTGCTCTTCTTTGTCATATGAATCTTAAAGCAAGAAGCCTGCTTCTATTACGAGAATCAAGATGCATGTACTCGGTACCTGTACAACTACATGTACCCCCTCAAAGAATCTTCCTGAATCTTTCAAAATCCACCACTATGAAAGAATTCCACGGCACATTCATGAATGCACATTTTTCAAAGGCTGGAATGAGTGTTCCATGGGCCCAAACAGTGACTGGTGTATTCAGCAGGGGGGAGGGGATGGGGAACAAGCCACCTTTTTTGGGAGGGGTTTAAGGATTCTTTTATGAAAAAAATTGGACAGTCTTTTAAGAAAGAAATGCCATTTTGCCCCATCCACACCCTCCCCCACCCCAAAACTGGATACCCGTGGGTGCATGTACCAGTAGGTTCCGTCATCAAGTGCTGCCTAGTGCTGTAGCCTTGCCTTGCAAATTCTGAATTTGGATTGCGTCATTTGGAGAAAACAGAGACAACGAGGGGAACCCTCACCCTGCGTTTGTAGTGGATAAACTCTTGTGCATGTTTTCTCCATTTTCTCTGAATGATGCAATCTACATTCAGAGTTCGCGTCTTGGCATGAACAGACAAAAAGCCTTTTTTAGCTTGTTATAGATGAGCTCTGAAGACAAATGACACTGCGTTCGATTTGGATGCTTCCATATTTGTTTGAACAGATAAAATCAGAGAAAACATGTTTTCCCTTAGAGGTGCTCTTTAAGCACACTGTCTGGAGTGCCTGCTGGACAATCTAGCCTTTCAATATTGACTTTTTTGGAAGGAGATAATCTAGACTTCTTCAACGGAAATTTTTTGGGGGGGCGGGGTTGCTACTTTCCTCACAACGCTGCAAAATCCTCCCAAACCTCTGACATGTACATGTATGTAAATGTACATAGCTGGCTTTGAAGGAGTGTGCCAGAATCAGTTGTATTGGGCCAACCATTTTCAGAAAGGGGTGTCATTTGAATTTCAGCATACGGCAGGAAATGTCTTTATCTGATTTATTTATTACTAATTAGCCAAAGGTATAGAGCAGCAATCTCTTACAAATTCACAAATCAACCCCCCCCACCACCACTGTCCTTGCACTTTTTGCTCAGAGCTGGCTGCAGTGATATTCCCATTGCTGCCACGCACTCAAAGCCACATGACATCTCCTCCATGGCAGGTCTAAGATGCAGCACTGCATGCTGGGAAAGGACTAATGCTATACTGCTCAGACTGCTGATTTACCCAGGGACAAAAGGGCAAGACAAATATCGGCATTTGGTGAGTAAAACAAGTTGTTTATTGTTGGAAAAAGCTGCTGATCAAACTGACCAGAACGTAAAAGCATTGCAGATGCACATGCTCACGTATATATCAGGGAAAGCCCACATTTTGGTGAAATATTGGTCAGGAAAGTAGGGATACTGTACACAGTGTAATGTGTCAGCATGGTTAATAGATCATCAATCATGGCAGTTAATTTAAGCCCACTGTGTACTTGCACCATGACAAGTGGGTTCCTTAGTTTAAGGCCATGAGACTGAAAGTGGTAGATCTGCATCTGGAATTTTTGGAAACCATATAAAGCTGTTTTTCATTTTTCATTCTCCATTATTTTTTAACAACTTTTCTTCCTTTATTTTTCGCCATGTTCCTCTGTTGTTTCACGAGCAACAGTAAAGGTTGAAATTCAAGAAATAAGAGGTTGAAACAATTTTTTCTTCTGGTCAAACTTCCATCCTGTCCATGGAGGTTTTTCTAATCACATGTTAGTCAAAATTCTGAACGAAAAAAGTTTGTAACTATAGTGATGTTTGAAGAAATGTGTCCCGAGATTATTTACAAGTGAGGGAAAGCTACTATTCCCCATCGGCTGGTTCCAAGCCCATGCAAACGGAAGAGCCAGTCAAGTCATTCAACACAAGTGGTTTAGTATCACATAAAGGTACAATTTTTGAAGACTGTGCATTCAATCTATGGCTAAGCAAATGATACATGTAACTCGTGATGACTTTTCTGTAGAAAAAAGTAAATAATGAAATTTTTTCAGCAGCAGCTTTTAGGGCACGCAGTGGTGGACGCAAAGCTATGAATTTCATTCTCGTGCCCAGAAGGCTCACAGGGGAGCCTTGAAGTTTCTCAATTAGCACTTTAGTACTCAGTCCATGACAATGACACAACAATATGATACATAACAACATATACATGTACACGTGTAATGCCTGAGTTGCAGCCATGAAAGACAGGAAATCTCACGAGCACGAAGAAGCAAAATTTATTATACTTAAATGTTGGGTTCAATCAGCCAATCAGCATAATCCACTTGTGTTGTGCTTATCACTTGATCCCTGTACGAATATCTAACTTTACTTCCCTTCTTTCCAAGCTATCTTCCCAAATCACGACAATCACAAATGAAATAAAAAAGGCAATTGGCAGAATCATTGGTAATTTAGTAAAGTGTGAAATCAAGTCAACAGATCGTGCAAAGATCGACCAACTGCGCACACCCAGTGACTGTACCCAACATTAAAATATTTAACAATTTAATCAATTAAAAAGTACATGTAGCACACCTTGGATCTTTTCAGCACCTTCAAGTCTCCTTCAAAGTTGGAGTGTAGGGCGTTTTTGTTCATGATGAGTTTGTAGGATCAAAATCTCAGTCCAAACACAGTTTCCATTCTCAATCACACTCGTTGGTAGGCTATTGGGGCTGGAATATGTAGGTACATTTACGACAGAAAGTTAAGCATGTAAAATCAACCATCATTCCGGCCATATTCCTTGGTTGTTGATATTATTTGTCCATGCAGGCTGCACAGCCTATACTACGATGACACTTGACAGTGGTCAGGTAGTTTAGAAACAAGGTCATGTCGTCACTTGCTTCCACAGTGAAGTTCTCAGTTTCTCACCCAGAGAGAAATTCCAAATTGCACACGAGTTTTAACATTTAATAACTGCACGATTACAATGGTACTCAACGAATTCCTCTAAAATGTTTCGTAAATTCCCGTACAATTACACCTGCTGCATACTGCAGGCAGTACGTACTGGTAACAAGTGGAAGCACTGTTGGATTTGAGACTACTACAATTTCTAAAAAGGGGTGTTTGTAAAACCACAGCATTATTAAGCCTGTAGAATCATTTCAAATGACAGTTTTATTCGTGATAATTACGTTTCAGTTAGTTTTTCAAAATTAGTTTTGGGCCACAATTATTACTAATGTTTAATCAAGAATTTCTTGAATCCCATACAATGAACTATTTTAAACAGCTTGCCCATATATAAGAATGAAATAATCTGTTTCCAGAACGACGTTTCCGTATATATCACGTGACCTGAACTTTGCACATTACTTATTTTGGGCAAAAGAGGGCGTTATATCAAACTTTAGCGATCTTTGCTTTAGACTGAAAAACGCACAGCGGATTAAAAGCCATGATCATAGATCCCGTAGCGCCGCTTAGCGGCGCTTTGGCCCAGTTTAATAATAAATGCTGCAAACAGGAGAGAAGTAATAACCCTCCTTTGATTTGTACTAAGAAATCCCTTCATAAAATCTATTCACTTGAATGCTGGAGAGGGAGGATTAAGAAAATCAAGTTGATGTGGCAGGACCCCTTGAACCTCAAAACACACATCAAGTTAAGACCATTTTCAATTTTTCATCAGTTTGGGAGAGGATGACGCTACGTGACTTATAGGCGTGCTTGCAGTTGAAATTTCACCCTCAAAAACCCAGATCTATGTGCCCATCGGTGCACTGCAAAATGGAGCAAACTGGAGTTTCACCTAAGATTTCATGCAGACTCACAATCCCTCTCATAAGTTGGACCTCCCCCCAGCAATCCTCCAATAAGGGAAACTGGTGCCTTCAGATTGTGGTTTTGTCACTGTAACTTATGACCCATGCTGTATGCACTCACAAAGGAAACACATCCCAGATAGTTCTTCCCATGATTATTAACACTGAACACTGACAAGAAAATAAGACCACAGGTTACGATGTCCACAGGTTCATTCCACAAACTTTTTTATTTTCTCTTCGCAAAACAATGTTTTTGCATATCATGTTACAAGACCTTGAATAAACTTGTCACCAATTCTGAAATTTAAAATAGTTTGGAAACATCACGTCAGGACAACCATTAGCTTTCCAACTCAGAGCTTCTTTCCAGTCCCACAAGTTACCTTTGCCTTTTTCATATTTTAATCTTGAATTACAGACAAACCACTACTGTGGAGTAATTCTGGGCTCATTTGCTCTGATTTCTCTTCATTAACAGAAGTGTGTCCTTTACAGGAACTTATAAAACATGCGTGATCTTAAAAAACATTAAGGTTGACTTGAAAATACAAGTGCATGATTTCAAAGACCAGAAAAATCAATCAGATTTTACAAACCCATAATTGTCTTCTTTTTTTTTTGGAATGGCACTACATATATGGCACTATATATTCCTAAAACAAACTTTCAAAGTCAAAAATCCTCTGAATTCTAGTTTCTATATAACAAAGTTCTAATTATACAAAATCATTCCGCTGGTCCCGGTAATGTCGGCCGAGTTCGTTCAGTCACCGCTTGTCAACCACTTGTTGATGCTAATGTGTTTTGTGCAAGTTACCAAGCAAAACTGACCAATGGTTGGCAAATAACGGTCACTGGTCCAACATGGCCCTTGTCAAACAGAGAATCAAGTGATGAACCACACAAAACACTTTTAAGATCTAAAGGAGGACATGCCATGAGGTTTTATCTTCCTCATGTGCACTGAATCATGGTTAAAATAACTCTCACAGATCACTGCTCTCAATAAAAATCTCTCATCTGACACTGCTTCCTACACAGAATTAAATTTTGAATATTCATGAGCATGAGGTATTTCAGAATTTCAATTAATCATGTCAAGTATTAAACTTTAAAGTGTCGCTACCTCCCTTTACCTCTGGAAAGCAAAAACTGGAGACCTTCTTCAAGTTTCGGTCCCCAATAAAAAGGACAAAAATCATGCTATGTTCCCTACTTTTCTACATGTTGCACCAGAGAGGTTATGTGCTGCTGACATCTCCACAGTGACTCAGAGGTTGTGTTTGTTATTTCAATTTAGTTACAGTGAGTGTTCAAAAGGTTTACCCGAGCCTATTCCAGTGATACAAGACTACTGCCCTCTGAGGACGCGTTAACGCATAACCTCTATTTAGGTAAATGCAAAAAAACCCAAAAATCACAGGCAGATTTTCTTACAATTCCAGGTCAACAGCTTGGTTGACTGCCATGATAGTGACAAACATGTTGTCGTTTGAATGACTTATCCAGATCCATAAACCTATCAGCAATGAGCATATTTTCCAAAGCTGCTAAGCTCACAGATAAGCTGATAATACACACCTAGAAGAAACCAGTTACTTGACAAATTTCACAAGTTGTAAAGTGATTAGTTGTTCGCATAATTGTGCTGGGAGGGTAATTTTGCTTAGCAAAAAATTCAGCCAAATGGGCTCCATATACCAATACTCCCTCATAGGTGAAGAGAAAAAAACTGAGCAATGTGTGCCACGCACAGATTGTAATGTAATGATCGCAGCAATCTCCTTGACCATATAAGGTTACTGTAGGGGAGGTTGGTGCAATAACCATAGATACATGTACCTGCAGATCGAGCAATGTCACTTGAACAAAGAACAGTTAGACTATATCTTGTCTACCATTGTGGAACCAAGCCCTGGGGCATGGCTGGACCACCGACTAGAAAATGACTGCACAAGATGGCAACAGTGAGCAACGGAGGGAATTCGCAAAAATGGCTCAACTAGTGCCGTGGAGTGGGGTGGTAATTTGTTGAATCATTGGACAAAGTATGACTGGTTGAGCTATCTGCCCGAGTGGGACCAAGCAAGGAATTTTTTGGGCAGAATGATGGTCCTTTGGTTGGAACTCGAATTTATGTGAATTTAGCCAAGGGACGCATTGTGTAGGCATGACCAATTTCTGTCTGGTGTGAGTTGTGTGCACGCACGTGAGTACACTTAAACTCAGAGTGGATAGTTGCCCATAATTGACAAAACCCAAATCACCACTCAATCCGGCCACTGTGCCAATTGCACTCTAAGAGATATACTCCTGGTTGATGATGACTGTAAAGACAAGGAGATGATCCCGATACCGTGGCCTCACTTGCTTTTTGCCTTCTTGGGCTTTCTCACCTGTCTGTTGGCGTTGCTGGTGATGACACGAAAAGTAATACCCTGGGGAAGAGGAAGGAAGTGGTATTGTCAAACACTGCGATATCCTCAGCACGTTAATGATGAATCAAGTCATTTGACTATACATCTGTGTTAAGGCCAGTTTGCGACAGGGAACACTAACCCGATTTTGTGGCATCAGATCAAATAGTTGCGCAACGAATTCACAAAACCTGAACATGTTGTAACACAAGTGTATTTTTTGGCCAACATTTCTTGATGTCAGTTCGCTTTGCTTTAGCCTGAAGTATGAACTTGCCTTCACAGTGGGATCCTTTCACAGGTAAATTGCCATTTCATCACAAGCTCTTTCACAAGTCCAGTCACAAACGACAAGACGAGCAACGACAAGGGAATGCTCTTCTCACAGTTCACTTTAACAGACTGTAACTTGACTTTAAAACTGTGATGGACTGTAATAGACTTGCTGCCAACACTGGTACTTCACTCTGGAAGTCTGCCAGGAACGGAGGCAGCACAACGTCAGCTAATGCACAGACATGGGCAGGTTCAATCAGAGACAGATGGTTAAACAATGATCGATTTTGACTGGTAACCTAAGCATAAAATATATACCGGGCACCAGGCAAAACTGACAGTGGTTGACAAATTGTCGCTGATTGAACTTGCCGTGTACTTATGGTTTCTGAATGGCTGTTGCACAAATGCTTCCACCATAACTGGGGGGCGGGTGGTCTTAATGACTTTGCTTTAACAGCGGCCTCAACAGTCAGATGAAGTACACTTTAAAAAAGCATTTCAAGTAGACTGAACTCCCCTTGCCAAGATATGGTTCAGAGGTGAAAATCTTACACATAAAATAAGTCTCCGTTAAAAATGATTTCACTGACATTGATTGCAAACTCACATGATAGTCTAGAAACTCTCTCAGCTTGTTCTTGGAGTATTTGATACCAGCTCTTTTCAACTCCGCATGGAACTTGTCCAACTCAAGGGGCTGTTCGGGGAGTGAGGAAACATTGGTGAAAGTTAAAGCTAAACAAGTTACTTTGGCCACTTGTCTTTTCAGGGTGTTTGCTTACTGAAAACTTCAGAAAAAAGTTTGGAGTAAAAGCTTTATTGGTCACGTTACCTCATAGCACAGGATTTTTTCGTAGAGGGAAGGCCTGGTCTTGATGTAGACTTTAATGGCCTCTTCCAGGTTGGCAGCCGTCTGCTTGAAGAAGAAAAATAAACAATACAGTACTTCAACAATTTCTGTGTGATGACCAAATAACATCACTGGCCCTAGCGTGCGCACTGTGCACATTCAGATGAAAATTAGTCAATACAATAAACAATAATTTACAAAGTGTTAAAAATCCCAAGCAGCTATCAAACCATCGGATAATAATACACATACTACTTAACACTAAATGAAAATACAACCCTATTTAAATTAATGGGAAAGATGTCTCTTTTGAACAAATTAATTTGAGGTAAAATGGAAACCAACCCAAAAAATGACATTTCTCCAAACGTTGGCAAAATAAGAGGTGTGTAAGAACACATGCTGTGCTTCCCAGTAGTAACTTGCACAGTCCTTGTGCATAAAAAGTGAGAATGATTTCAAAATTTCTTGGATGCTGCGGTTATCCTCACCCTCTGAGATGGTTCCAAGAAGTCCTCGTCATCCTCTTCGTCATCAGTTCCTTCGGGACATTCTCTGGAGTTGCTGTACTCACTGAACAACATGACAACAGGATTGGGGACACTGTAGTGACAGTGACTATGACAACCGCTGCCACTGCTGTAAGATCAAGTTACTGCTTGCTCTCTGCAATCTTCTTTTTTAAGACGACTTCATTTACAACACACTTTTATATGCCATGTAAGATGCCCCACATGGGGAGTGGTTGTTTAAAGCAAAACACAGAATTTACAAAGCAGATTTTCAGAAGTCATGCAAAGCTGGTGGTCTAGATGAAAAAGAAAACACAAGAAATAAGCAAGACATGCCAAGTGCCTTGGAGTACATCCTGCTTCAAAACATATTATTATGAACAACCAGAACTGTTGTTGAGACCGTCACAAACAAGTCACATGACCATGACAAGACCAGTCACAAGACCATCACAAGAGCAGACACAAGACCATCACAAGACCAACCACAAGACCATCACAAGACCAGACACAAGACCAGACACAAGACCATCACAAGAACAGACCGTTCTGGTAGTGTTCTGGTCTGACAAGACCTTCCAAGACCAGACACGAGACCATCACAAGACCAGTCACAAGACCAGACAAAAGAACAGACCCAAGACCGTCACAAGACCTTCCAAGACCAGACACGAGCCCATCACAAGACCAGTCACAAGACCAGAAACATAACCATCACAAGACCAGACACAAGACCAGACACAAGACCAGACCAGACTTACTATAAACTGTAAAAAAAACTACACAAAAAAGTGACATTTGGTTCATCACCTGGATTATTACCTCATATTTCCTGACAAAAACCTTTTCTCCTGTTTAAGAAGTTATTAATTAATTTGGGAAGTTGCTTACTAGAAACAGGTACCATCACTTAAAATGGTTTACTGGGGTAACCAGATACAATGCACAACCTTAGTTTCAAGAGGTCAGACCTAAACAGAGGTGTACCCATTGCTCACCTATCATCACTATCCATGGACTGGCTGTCTCCATCTACCTCAGCCTCTAGATGCCCTGGCCTGCTCACACCTGCCCTCTTCTGGCTGAGCTGTTGACCACTGCTCCCTTCTTTGCTGTTGGATTTCTTCCTCCTGGTTGGAGATTTCTTTGGGGCTGCCTTCCGAGTTGGAGGGTTGGATGATGTGGTGGACTTGGTGTTTACAGCTGGAAGCTTGAAAGTGGGTCCTGATCCGTCAGATTCGGAGTCGCTGTCTTCTAAAACTGCAGAGACCACAAAATTGAGGCAGAGGCCATTTTCAGTTATGTGATTTTTGGCAGTCAGAGTTCAATTTACACGGATTTGCACGGAAACGCCTGCACCTTCGAAGTCTCTCCACATTCTGGCATACATGAAACCAATAGTAATACACAGATTTGAAAATATGTGCGCCTTCGCTGACATGGTACACTTCCTGAAATGCATTTGCCCGTCATGTAACATCACGTGAAAACCCTCTCGAACAGAACAACCAAATCCAGCACCAGACAGGGTGATAAGGAACGTGGCCTTGCAGTCAGGGCTTGTGGCTTGTGAACAGCAAGTCAGGGATTTGAATCCAGCCACTCGCTATGCGCGGTGTCCTTGGGCAGGCTACTTTACACCAACTGTTATCTCTCCAGCCAAGAATAGGTATACCAAGTGCCTTGGAGAGAACAATAATTGCTCAGCACTGAATCTCCCAAAGAGTGAGAGGTTTTCCTGATTGTTAGCATTACAGGGAGAGTGTTGAGGAAGAAGGTACTGTGAAAAGGGAGGAAAAGGAGGAAGTAACAGTGACGGGAAAAACATAGTTTGTGCAACTGGACAGGTAGGAAGCAGTCAATGAATAAACTGTCCTGTGAATGTCACAACAATGACAAAACTATCTCAACATAAAATGCCCAATGTTTGGAAAACTGTATCACACACATTTGCTAAGATCCACTGGTAAACTGCCCGTGTGATATTCAGTGGGTTACAACGGAACGCCGCTACAACGAACAAGACAGGGTTCCACGCTAAATGTTCGGTACAGCGGTCGTTCAGTAGAGCTAATTTGACTGCCGAACATTTCGTTGCCATGTTGAATAGCGCCCTCTCTTGTCTAACCGAAGTGCACCTTCTTGTGATACCTTGGCTTGCTGTTTTCGTGATGTTTTGCCGTTGCATTCAAGTTTAAGGTTTCTAGAAATGTATCTGTTAATTATTTTTGTTTTTTATTTAAACTCGAGTCAAAAAATTGATATCAAGCTTATCCTTAAAGTCGTGAAACTACCGCTCAGGATCGATCTCGGATGCATGCTGTGGCGAGTCTCAGTTGATTTGTGTAACAGTGGCGCCCTCTTTAGACTATTGTTAGTGCAATGCCACTGTGTGCGTACGTGCAGTTTTCTTCCGCACCTGATCATGTGGAGCCGCAAAACCAGCATCTATTCAATACCATTGACAACTAGTTGCTTTCCCTTCTAATCCTTGGGGAAATAATGGCCTCTTGTCACTTGCCAACATAAAAACACCGACTGTTTTATCATGTTGACGTTCGGGAATTACAAACGGCAACTGAATAGTGTTCGGTAGGCTCTGTGCACAACTTATTGGGAGCCAAGGACGATGTTCGGTACAGCCAAATGTTCGGTATAGCGGTGTTCGGTATAGCGGCGTTTCACTGTACTGGTTCAAATCTTGCTTCAGTCAACCAGATCAGTTAAAGCTTAGGCGGGCTGATTAAAGCATACCTTGGTGTGTGTAGCTGTAGATCTCTTTCAACTTCAGACGGGCTTTCTTCTTGGGCAGGGGTTTCACTCCAAACTTCTTCAGTTCATTCTGCACAGATGACAAGAAACCATTCTACGTTAAGATCCTATTGGGTGCTGCTTTTCCGGCCACTGACTCAAACTTTTTGAGTGATACTGCAGGAACATGACGAGAGAAACCACCGCATCTGGATTCATGTGTCCTCATTTCTGTATTAAAACCATCGTGTATTCCTCAAAACTATGATCAGATTGGCAAAGCGACACACACAGTCTGCTGGCTTACATGTATGAAGACAACCACACTAAGAGAGGTTGGCAAACAAAATGTATTCTGTTTTGCCAATGACATCGTGGACAGAGAGAGCTTCTTTTTTTTTTTAAAGTGGCAGCCCAACAAATGACGCCTTCTACTACAAATCTCACTGATTATGATTCAACTTGATCATGATAAGATGCTAGTTGGCAGAGTCTCTTTCAAGTTAAAGACCTATGGTTAATTCCGAGGGTAACAGATTGATGTATGCCATGCAATCTAATGGCGGTGGTTGGGACCTCAGGGCCAGTGTTGTTTCTTAGGTTGGAAGTGTCCCTCTATCACAGAGATTACTTTTAAAAGTTGGACTTGGAAAGGATCAGGTAAGATCTCTATATCCTCTCTATATTCCCCCATTTTGGAAAATATTGTAGAGTGGTAGACTCAAGTCACATGACTTGGACTTGAGCCGGACTCAAGTTGCTACTTTTGTGACTCGTGACTTGACTTGTAACTTATCAGTTATTGACTTTTGACTTGGCGTAGACATGCAAAATAATGACATGCAACCACCAACCACCTCTGGTATACTGTGGAATGAAAAACTCATTGAATTTAGCTAATAAAAAAGGAATCATGTAAAATGGGGCCTCGCTGTCTTTGAAAGTTGGTTGATTTCCAACATTACTGCCTTCACAACAGTGCCCAATGTGATCATTTTCTGCCCCAAAAAACCCAACAAAATCTGAATGAATGAATGCTGCATAATGTATATCAAAAGAAACTCTTCAAATTTCTCACCCAAATAGTATCCATTAAAATCTGGCGATGAAACTGAGTGACATGTCAATGCAAAGGGCTCCCTTTTCTCTTTCTGAGACAAAATCAAGGAGAAAAAGGCCCAAGACACCATTTCGGTTCTCTGGTCACAATTGAAGAATTATCTCATTTACTGAAAACCAAGTTCTGTATCAAAACCTTCAAGACAAGAAGCCCACCAAATCTTGGTGGTTTTACCTTCAGGCCTGGCGTGTTCATATCATCATAGGGAGGCATGGGGGTGATGGGGGCCGGTGGGTGGTACAGCTTGTCTATCGTCTCCTTGCTCAGTGGCTCCTTTCTCCTGACCATAGTGGTTTTTGAGACAAGAGGGTCATCTTCTGGTGGACATTTATCTTCGGAACAAAAGCGACAGCTGGGGTTGAGTTTGTGGGACAAAGAGAAATCTTAAAACACACTGAGCAGAAGGGTTGCAATGAATAGCCTAAAAGGGCCTGTGTTCCCTCAAAGAGGGCAAGGATTATGTGAATCAGGCACTTGGACTTTTTGTACAAAAGTGAAAGTAGCAAAACCTACCTGATTCAACCTCTGAAAGCCATTACTTTGGCAACAAAAGTCCTGATATCCACAAGACAAACTGAGAAATATGACCCCCCCTGGTATTTTGTTGTGTTAGAGACAGTTGAGAGGCTTATTGGTTTACCAAATGCAGATTTTGTTTATGATTGAATTTCCTGTGCAGCAATGACTTTAAAATGGTCACTAGTGCAGAAGCCAGTGTCAACATATGTAAATATTTCATGCCTTCTGTTTTCAGTTAAATTAAATAGCAGGTGACTTGCACAAATTCATCTTGGTGTTTGCACTGAGCTCTGGGGCGTCTAATCACTTTTGCAATCTTTCTGTATAGAATAATCCAGCATCATTTTGTGAGACATTCCCAATGGCCCCCTTTAATGGCTGACAGTACGGTGTTGGGTTTTGTATGGAGTGACTGTCATGAAACACTGGCAACACCACAGTAGTTATCACATTGATTTCACCATTGCTGGGGGCCACTGAAAAATGAGCAGAGATAACCTGATCAGGGGCCCCAAATTTGTCAGATGTGTAGCTGAATCAGTATTGATAGCTGGAATCTGTAAATTACTTTGAGGTTGTTTGATGTCTTGGTCTCCATCAGCACGCAGGACTCCGCCCCAGGCCACCTCTTCATCCACCTGCCCTGCCCTCAGCTCGCAGAGGAAACTCTCGCTGCATCCAAACTCCTCCGCCTCTTCCTTGAGATGTGGTTTCGACCCTAGGAGGACGCCGGCGCCACCTCCATGCTGAGATGTTGGGAGAGACTCAGGCCTGGGAGGGTGGGAGTCCTCATCCGAACTGGAGAAGTTCTGGACGCTGATGTTGCTGTGGAAACCCTTGGGCATCCCAGATGTAGACTTTCGGGTGGTTGGACACGATGCGGAGAGTTTCTGAGGCAAAGGGAACAATAAAAACGATTCTTACCAGCTTCTATAAAAACAAAAGCAGTACTTGTTTTTTTGACGGAACATTTTTCAGTTAAGCATGAACCCCAAACCATTAAAGCAGGAACTTTATGTTAAAGACAAAAATGAAGCTTAAAATGTATTCTTTGATCCTTTGGAAAAGATTCTACAAGAGCCAAAATGTTGGACCTTTTATGTTTTAAAGTTTAAGTTAAATCACATTTAGATGCTAACTTTCAATTCATTATATTTCAACAATATGTCAAGATTTGTTGTACCAAGTAAAGATTGGTAAAATAGTACCAGTTTGCAGAGCTAAACTCTTTGTATCTGAAATTTGCACTGCCTTGGCTTTATGTAATAGATTTTTCAGTTTTCCTTAGACAATCAAATACTTTCTTCCAATTGGATTGCAATGCAGTTTGAGGAAAAAAGGTTCCTCCTGCTGGACAAGAGTATCCACATAAACATTTCTGACAGCTATGGATTCATGCACATGTCCTGGGAATTAAATATTCCGAGGACATGCAGCCTCTGTTGTGCTCAAAACCCAGTCAAGTTCCTGTCACGCAATGGACACAAAACACTGCACACTTTTTGCTTTGGCTAAGCATTTTCTGCATTACACAAACATGTAAACAGCGGATAATATGAGACCGATCAGAATGCCATCTAGAGTTCCAACAAAGTCCATATTATAAACCATTATTTGAACTTAACAGGCCTCAATTCTCCAACAGGTGGATTTAGAAAGGTACGGTTGAGAAGTAACTCACTTCTAACAGTGAACCTGCACCTCCTGCCCTGAGCCCGCTTGTCTCAGTCCCTGTTTGCGACTTCCTCTCTGATTTGACATCTTCCATGTCTGCTTCATCCGATGCCCCTTCTCCATCTGAGCAGAAGTTGAAGTCTTCCATATACCCTCCTCCGTCATCTCCATAATAGGCAAACTGCTCCTGGGAAGCATTCTCTGGGGATGCCGGGGGCACACTCTCCACATCTGATGCTGAGTCTTGAGGCGAAGAAAGGGTTTCAGGTTGACTCCTTTTACTGGTGGCATCTCTGATGGCGGTGCTGCAAGGGGGACTTGGAGATCGGGAAGCTGGCCTTGGAGAATTACTAGGAGATGCCTGAGTGTTTGAGCTCCCTGATGTCTTGAAAGATGACATGGATAAAGAGCATTTCTTAAGAGATGCAGTAGTCTCATAACCTGGAGTGTTGTTGGGTTGAATTCTTGGGGTCGAGGCATCCTGGAGGCAATCGTGACTATCCTCTGTCTCGTCACTGGATTGGGATTCTGATGAGAACCTTGTTGGGGACAAGCCAACGCAGAGCTGCTCTAGCCAGTTCACTTTGTCTCTCCTCGCCACAGTTCTTGTGTCTGTCCTGAGACCATCTTGATTTTCCCCATCATTGGAGACGAGGATAACATCATCCTCGTCCGTAGTGCAGACAGGACTCAGGAGGTTTGTGCTGATAGCAGAGTGAGACGTCTGAGATGACAGACCTTTTGGTCTCTTGGATGGTACCTCAACATCTTCCGATGCATAATCCTCCTGCTGCAGTTTCCTCTTGCATCTTGATGCCAAGCTCCCTTCCCACTCAATCCCTTCGTCAACAATGGTATCAACCACATTTTGCTGTTCTGATGAAGTGGAGGCCCAATCCTTTGCTTTCAGAGAACAGACTGAACCAAATGTGGGTGAGGGGGGTGGCGAGGGGGAAAGTGGGGCCGGGGGTACAGAACTTATCACCTCTGGGGTATCGGCATCAAAGCAGTCTGGTGTTGGCCCTACCGGTGTGCCTGACAAATGCAGAGAGTCTGGTCCATTGTCCTCTTCTCCAGAGCTGTGTTCCAAGTCTATGGTGAAATTTGACCTTGAGAATGGTGAGGAACTTTTATCTCTGGTTTCAGTTGAGGTTGTCTCCCTAACATCTTGTCCCTTTCTGGAGTGATATTTCTTTGGTAACGGTTTTAGAACTGGGCTTCCGTCCATCATCCTCCCTCTCCTTGACGTCATGTTGTGGTCAAGTCCATCAGATGACTTGCTCTCCAGAGGTAATGAGGAGAGATGTGTTCCTTCCTTGCGAGTCTGACCACCGACTCTTTGACCTTGACCAACAGCGGGAGTGTTCTTGACAGGTGACACTTCAGGAGGGATATCACTGTGATGGTGGGCAACTGTTCTGGAGTTTGGACCAAACAAGGGCGTTGATGAGTCTCTTACCAGGTCAGCTGCAGCCCGGAATGCAGCTGGAGTCTCTATGACAGAGGCAAGGGTATCCGACGACTTGGGCTTCACTCCTTCTGTACCGTGGAGAGCAGGGATCCTCAAATTTTTCAAGTCCTTTTTTCCAGCAGGATTAGCTGCCGTGTTCCCCTGTCTGTCTCGCCTTCTGAAGGTGAATTTTTGTGGTTTGGTGACAGGTGGCTCCCTAGGTGAGGGTTTCCTAGTGTGATGGGAATTCTGAGATGGCTGGGAGAGAGTCTTGCTCCTTGATGCAACTGAGACTGGTGACCGTGGAAAGATCACGGACATGTCCTCATCTCTGGCACTGTCATTTGCATTGTCTTGGAATATATCTCTGTTGTCAACAGCAGCATTATTGTCCTTGGTCTTTAAATCAACAGCTTCAATCTCTTGGTCATTTTCATCTTGTGAGAGATCAATTACTACATTGTCAACCGCATCTTGAGCTCCTACTCTGGCATCCATTGGGATTCTGAGCTCTGGCTCTTTGACAGAGCTCATCTCCTCTCCACTGCCACCGGGCTGACCGAAGGAATGCCTGATCTCCAGACTATGAGAGACTTGCTTGTCAGGCTGGCTTCTAACATTAACTTCTGGGAGTGTAACTTCACTTTCTGAGGAGCTTGAGGTATCTCTACCATCAGATGGTGCGTTTTTACAGGATTCCACTTCCTCCACATCCATTTCTTCTCTTTCAATGGAAAAAGTTTCCAGCAGATCTTCACTCTGATTGAAAGTGCATTGATCTCCTTCTACATCTGTTCTTGAACACTGTGAAACTGAAGCCTGGTTAATCTCCTGTGAGTTCTCATGGTGCTGTGCAGTTGCTTTCCACGTGTCAAAGTCCACTTCTTTTACATCCTCTTTGCTGTCATCACAAGATTGGAAGATGCTGTCGCCGACGTCTGCAAGAGTTGCATCTGCCTCCTTAAGACTTCTACAGCCTTCACCAAGAACCTCTTCATGATTTCTGGCACATTTGGCAGGTTTGGCTCTCAAGTTGGACTGCTGCTCCAAACACTTTCCAACAGTCTGCGTGCTCTTCATTGGTGAGACTGGGAGATCATTTGAAAGCTTTTTCATGTGCACAAAGCAAGGTGTAATCAAGTCTGAAGAAGAGTCGATACTGTCAGCTACTCCTGACGAGCTTGTGACAGATTTTCTTCTCTTGGATATTTGCTCTGGAGTGACACAACAGCGTCCTTGTTCATCACAGACATCTCCTTGTGAAGAGGTGTCTTCCTTTCTCTGAGATCCTTGGCCTGGGCCCTGGGGTAGACAGCTGCTCTGAAGCTGCTCTAAGATAGTGAACGATCGTCTCCCGCATGTGGCTGAACACTTCTCAGAGTACTCCATATCATCATGACCATCATCTCCATCGGATGCAGCGTCATCACTGTCTTCCTCACTGGTGTCTTCACACTTCTCGGCACTGCTCTGGTGTTGGCGCTGCTGCCTCTGTGTGCTGAAGAACTCATAGATCTCATCCATGTCCCTGTCATTAGGAGCTTCGTCCTTCACTTCGGAGTCACTTTCTGTATCCGACACTTGGTGAGAAAACCTCCGCCTTGCTTGCGAGGCAGGGGCTTTCTGATCCCCACCATCTTTGTCACTAGCATTGTCACTGTCCCCTTTGTGACTGTCACTTTCCTCCCCTCTGCTTTCCCAAAGGCTTTGTATGAGGTCATCCAGGCCCCGGTTGGCAAAGAATTCATCGTTGTCATGCTCAACTCCTTTCTTGGTTTCTGGAGAGAGATCTGAAATTGATGCTAAGGATAGTTTATTCCCCTCAGGAGATGTCATAGTATTTTCCAAGTTGCTGTTAAATTTACAACAGATATCGCATAGCTGTGGTAAGGAAAACCTGCAGAAGGGAGAAAAGTTAAGAGAACAGGTGTCAAGTGGAATTTTTTACATTTTCAGTGTTACCGTAACATCAGCCCTGTCAATTTTACAAATGATACACTAAATGAGAGAAATATTTCCATGTACATGTACTTCCATATTTTATCGAGGAAAACTTGCCAGGAATTCTACTATGACACACAGATGTTTCACAAGAATTTGTTATAAGTTACATACTTACTCTAAACATATTTTTATTGAAAAGTCTACATTCCTGTGAAATACAACCTTTCAGTTTAAACTTTTCAATGATTTTGAATCTGTAACAAGAATAAAGGATTCCACAGCCAATGAAAGAACTCACCTCTTAGCAAACTTCCAAATATCCTCTGCTACAAAGCTGGTGACCGTCACCTTCCCAGCATAGATGAAGTCCAGTGCACAGAGGACAGACTCACGGCTGAAATCTTGTAGATCGAGTGTCTTAACTTGAGTGGGGGTAGAGGTATCTTTAACCAACTGCATGAAAACAAATAAAAAATATCCCTGAGTTTATTTTTCCAGGCTTTGGAGCTGGAAAGTACAGCACTAAGCACGGTGAAAACTATTTAGCAGAAAACAGGTTACCAACTTAAACGGCATGGTTTATACTGACACTAGCTGGTACTCCATTGATTTTTACAAAGTACACAAGTTTGCTAAGCAATATTTCTGTCTAAAATAGGCCTTTGCAATGCCAACACACAAAGAACTGAGTAACCAAGCTTTGAAATGCACCAATGCTTGATTGATCTTACACTGCGAGGTAAACAGTGGTCAAGTTTGGGTCAAATACCTAACCACATCCTGAAAGTGTCATACGCTACTGGCCTCAATCAAAGTTGATAAGATGAGCATGTACATTCACGTCAGTCCTTGTGATATGGAAATTGCAGGCGTGTGGAAAAAAACACACTCCTGGACATTCCCAGGCATGCAATTTTTCTAGGCGTGTGATTCTGAAAAATGAAACAAAACCTCGGGTCAATCAAGACGTAGTAAAATAAAAAGATAAAATTGGGCCAACATTACATATAAACAATCAACAAACCCAACAAAAAAATGGTGCAACAGTTTCAGATCACACCCGCTTACTTTAAGCAAACTTGATGAGATATGCCCAATACATGTAAAAAAATTCAAAGTTTGATGACAGTCACAAAATCATGCCCTTTCAAAACTAGCAGCCTAGACAGACCATGCAGAACTCCTCTGAGTCACAAGATCACTCCAATTCTCCATTAAATTTTTCAAATAAATCTCCCAATATTCCAGAGGTTTCTCTTCGCCAGATCTCCTTCCTGTGAGTTATTTCCGTTCATAGCACTAAAAAAGTTTATTGGGAAACATCAGGACGTCGATCCACACTGGCATGATCTCTCCATGGCTTTCACGCACTATGTTGTGCATCATGATTGACTGGTCTGGTCCCAGTCTCAACTTCAAAGGAATTCGTTGTTTCACTACGCATAGGGCACAGGAGCCTGCATCGTGGAAGCAGGTCGACTTCTGGAGATCGACTCGTACAGATGCGAGTAAAAGCCCAAATTGTTGTGATCGGAACAACTCACAGGACAGACATCTCCACGAAAAACTTGGGATAATCAGGGAATTCATTGGGAAAATTTGACAGAAAAGTTTGACGTGTAGAAGCACGTAAAGCCATGTACAGTCTGGTGTATGTAGCATTATGCATGCAGCAACAGTTACTGCAGCGCTGTGCAACGTGCATGTGCTGAACGACTGTGCACTGACAATGCTGCTGCGCTCAACTGTTTCGCTGGGAGAATAAAAAAGGATTCTGTCATCACTAACTGTTAGGTGGGCCTACTGTTTGAATCTTTTCGTTTCATTTTTCTCACAAATTGCACAGTATAATTATAAAGTAAATTCATGTCGAGGAGTGCAGTACAGACGGTTTCAGGCATGCAATTAGTTGCACTTCTCGGGAAGCTTTTAGGCGTGCGATGGCATGGGAGTGCAATCGTAGGCCTTAAAACAAAAGGACTGCATGTGCATCTATCTGGAACTGCACTCTGGGCAACGGGAACTGGGATTGGGTCCTCTAGCAGATTGATGAGCCCCACAAACACAAAGAATCTTTATATATGGACGTGCTTTCTGACGTCAGAAAAACTCTGTGGTAACTTGCTGCTCCAACGTGCAATCCACATGCAACTCCAAAATGGATACAGTTTTATGGGCACCAGAAGGGAAGTGCTTATCTAGTTCCAAAACAAAACAGAGCCCCCCCCCAAAATGTTACGTTCTTTCTCGGTGTTTGAAGGTTCCCATGATGCTTTGGAGCTTGAGCGTTGTTGCACAAACCCACCTTGGCAAGGGAGGGACACCTGAGACTGATCAAGAAATGATGGGCACAGATCACTGAGCCGTCGGATGGGACAAGATGGAGATCACACAGGTCCTTGCTGTTCACCAGTTCAGACAGTTGCTGGAGAATGTTCGACTGGTAGTGGTTAACAACAATCTGGTTTTCCTAGAGAAATGATCAATATTTCAGTAGTGTTTTAGTTTCCAAAGTGATGCTGATTGAAATATGAGAATTTCAATTCAATATTAAAATAAAACCTGAAATTTCAATTCAAAATTAAATTTGAATTTCAGAACAAGTTTGAAAATTATACCAGAGACACTGCTTAATGCAACCTACAATAGGAAAACCAACGTCACTTTTTGTTGGTCATTTTTTTTCACTTCAAGAAAGTTCATAACTTTAGGGAAAAAAATAAACAACTACATGAGCCATTTTGGTATACCACTTGTGTTGCAGCACACCAGGACTTGCAAATTTTTACATTGGGATAATGACATCAGTTAATGCACACAAGTTCAACAAAGCAACAACAATTTAACTGCAATTTACGCAGAATAGATAGTTTGTAAATAAATTTGGAGCACAAAAAATTTTGAAACATGCAATTTTTTCCCATGAATTTGTACTTTTTCTTAAACTATTCTTGGGACTAATGAAAGCAGTAAGTTCTGATAACACAATCATGACCTCATTACTTGACTAGCATTTCCTGATAATGGGCAAAGTATATGCACAATTGTACATGTATCGCCCAGATTTGAGAATACATCTCTTATCCTATGGGAAAAATGGAAACAGAAGAAATGGAAAAACCTTTACAAAAATCAAAGTTGTTTCACTACAGTGGTATGCTGAAACAGCCCCCCCCCCAAAAAAAGGTTACTTCAGAAGCCTGTGCCCGAGAGTAGAACATCTCTCATCCAAAGACTTCCTTGAATTTGTTCATTCCAGTCTTTGTTTACCTTCTCTTCTCTGTCTTCCTCTTCAGTGAGGATGAAGCCACTGGCAGCGGCAAGGCTGTGGTCACTGGACTGGGTGCAGGGGGGTGGGGCACTCTCTGCAGCTAGTTCGGCCAGGATCTGCAGGGTTCTACCCAGGGTCTGAGTTGCAAAGCCCTCCTGGCTCCTGAACGAAGCACTTCCGGGTGACTGCATGCTTGCGCGTGGTGTACCATCAGATAGTGATGTCTGTGGAATGGTCAAAGAAACATTAGATGTGACTGGATCCCACAAAATGATTCTTTAAGTAATTTTTTTTTAGAAATTTGTGACGTGATCTGCAAAGACCTTCACTTCGCCTCACCAAATTTAAAGATAATGCAAAAAAGAGTCCTTGAGATTTTTTAAATTTAATGCTTTACTGCCATGTTTAAATCAATGTCTCAATCGTCATTTTTGAAAGAGTTAATACAAATGTGGTTGTTTTTATATGTACACATTTGCAATCTTCCATTTAATGTTTTTTGTGTAAACTCAATAAAATGTTGGGGCTTTGAAACTGACTGTGAAAGCATAAATCCAGTTACAAACATCCTAGAATCGACAATAATACAGATTTGGCAACAGCAAGTGGTCTTCATTAATTAAATATGTATGTATATAACACAAAAATGACAAATTTCACAATGTGGTTTCCCATATCACATCACATTTAGTTTTAGTAAGCATTTGAAAAAGCACATCAAGCTCTTTGTTTGGATGTATCACTCAGTTTGTCAGCCTCGTAAAAACTGGTATTATGTGGGGGACAGGGTTGAATATTAATGAGGGAATAAATATGTGCTTTTACATTGGGCGTAACTACTGCCCGAGTTGCAGGCGAGGGCATTATCAACGTTCATTTTTCCGTGAGCCGGTCTTAAACGTTAGTTTACCGTCTACCTTTGTACATCCTTTTGACCAGAACTTGAACTAAAATTGGTCATTACGCGGCTAAAATCTGTAAGGCAGTGTCTCCCCCTTGGAAATGACAAGACTAAATACAGCAAGTTTCTGTCTGTTCATTCTCCAAACTGATATCTGTCTGACAGTTTAAGAGATGTGACATACGCTGATGGACTGATTGCTTCAGCCATAACAAAGCTTTCCTTTCATAATCAGCGAGTACGAGTACATGTACCTTTATCTGATTTGGGGAGGCTGTGATAAATGTCCACACAAAATTTTTAATATCGCAGACATGAAGCAGCCCGGCCGGACTGTAATTAATAGGTTTTCTACTTTAGAGTTGGAGTACCCCTTTTTCACAGTTGGTGAAATCTGTCTGGTGTAATAAAGATCTTTTTGGGAGGGGGGGAGCTCTTTCCAGAAAGCTTGCAATATTGACCAATGGCCGTGGGACTATGTACCGGTAATACCTTTTCCCTCAGATATTTATCAGTCTCATATTTTGGGAAAACAATAAGTAGGCATCATAAATAATACTTGTTGACAGGCAAGAGGGCTAGAAGACTTGGTTTGCTTAGAATTCATAGTTTTTTTCTGGGTGAAGTCATGCTACTGATGTCTGAACATCTGGCATCTGTTCGTCTATATACATGTATTTAAAAATTAGAAAAACTCTATGATGAAACCGACTCATTTGCTTCAGCAACCAACAGAGACTCTCTGAATGAAGCAGCCACAGAATGAACAGTGGGACATCGTCGAGTAAGACGTAAACTGGACATGATTTCATGTACGGTGCGATGCCATGGATAATAGCAGCGTACATGTAAATGCTACGTTGGTTGATGCGAGTACTGTACAATTTACACCTGCAAGATATATCTACATGGCCTTCCTGGTCCTGGATGTTGTTTTGAATCTGACTCTCAATGCTTTCAGCCTGATCGTCCTCTGCCATGTTGCAAGCATCCAGGCCACCACCAAGGTGTTCCTCCGATCCCTCACTGTGTCCGATCTCGGCATTGCGCTCCTCTACGTGCTGCCGCTCTTGGTGCAGCAGTTTGTGCCGGCATGGAGAGACCAACGGGGTTCGTGCTATTTTGAGATCATCTGTGGGACTGTCCTCTTCAACGTGAACATCCTCTCACTGCTACTGCTAACGGCTGACCGGTATGCTAGCATCGTGCACTGCCTGCGCTACCCGGCCGCCATGACTGTCGCAAAAGCCCGGTGGCTGGCCTGCTTGCCCTGGGCCCTGGCCACTGCCTACACGGTGATCTATATCACAGTTGCGCCGCCGACCTACTCAGAGAAAGGCCGCATCTGCCGCTACCTGGAGGAGACCGTCAACTTCAGCATCACCATGGTCATCATTCTGGCCTCGCTGCTCACCATCTTGGCCTTGTACGCTCGCATCGCCGTGATAGCCCACGGCCACAACCGACGCATCGCCCAGGAGAACCAAACCTCCTGGGCCAACCCTGTGGTGCCGCTGCGTTTCAGAAGGAAGTCCCTGCTCACGGTCTTCTTGATCAACATCTCCCTAGTGGTGACCTGGTTGCCAGAGGTCATTGCCTTGATGATCGCCAAGACCACAAAGAAACATGGAGCCCTACGCTGGACCTTCCTCATACAAATAGCCAGCTGTTGGCTCAACACCATCATATACTATCTAAGACACAAGGATTTCAGAGAGGCTGCTCACAGCATTCTCTTATCATGCTTAAAGAAATAAACTACATCATCAAGAGCAAGGAACATCCAAGGCTGTGGATGCAGTGTTGTGTCACTACAGTGGCACAGTAGTTTTTCACTTTACAGTCAGATTTTGAACTTGAACAAATACTACAGGCTTTATTTTGGAGAATTTTTGAGTTCAAGGCCATTTCTAGCTGATTTCAGTTTCTGAAGTGATGAAGAAACCAGCTCCAGAAAACGTAAAACTGGATCATCTGGCAAATTTCTATTTCGGACAAATACATGTCCGGTGTAGCGAGATAAAGATGGAAAATATAACCGACGGAAAAAGGAACGTGCGTTTTCAAGGATTCTTGGAAAAAAAACAAACAAACAAAACTGGCATTGCAAGGACCCTTCAACTTAACTGAACATTTAGCACACACCTGAAGCTCCTACATCCCATGCGCACTACATGTACATGTACCTCCGAGGGTGGAGTGCCTGGTATACTGTCTGTATCATCCATCTGTATGCGGCTACATCAGTATAATCCATATAGGCCAACATGTTGCGCAAACAAAGAATCTGCTGGTCTATGGCAGCTGTACACATACAGTTTCATAGTTTCTTAATGATCCATTAATTAGTATTCACAGCAATTCATGGTGCATGGTCTGCCAAGCACTGCATAGTTGACATATTGTGTGTTTATTTATAAAGCAAAAGATGTTTTTTTTCAAATGTGTTTTTAAAAATTGGTTGGGTAGGCTGGTAAATGTTATTGGGGGCTTCTCGGTATTTTTGTATAATCCTTGCTATTGGTACACCAAAATTCCAAAAATACAAGAGTAAGCATCCAAACAAAACATTCATTGAAAATAGCCAAATCCTTGTTCAAAATGAATAGATTGTTCACCCACAATGCAATGCTATCTGTGTCTCTGGTGACCAATGGTGACAAATTGTAATTTAATTTGCATGCAATTACAAATGTGCATATTCAATCAGTACACTCTATCCGAACCACATGTTGTCCTGGTTATAAATTTGTCTGAATTCATCCAAACACAAGGCATTATAAATTCATTGGCATTAATGCCATAAATTTGTGGATTCAGCAAAACCGTGGCACTGGAGACTTATAACAAACAGGACAAACAAACTATGGCACTGTGTTCTCTAAAAGTGTGCCACCTTTAGGAAAAACTTTTTTTTCAAATTTGCCAACTTGGTAGCAAGCTATGAGCATGCCAATGGGGATCAGATAAAAAAATCTGTGATCTGGCAAGAAAAATATGACTCAGATCTGAAGGTATAAATTAGGAATTTCAGACAACTTAAAACCAGCATCTTCATGAACGGCACATACATGTAGCTCCAATTCATTACCAGGAATTAAGAAAAAAATTTGTTTTTACGAAAGCATATGTGATGGTACTTGAAAATAAATGGCTGACGTAAGAGGTAATTTGCCAACCCCCCCCCAAAAAAAGGAGAACAAAAATGACCCACTGAACCCAATTCTGACACTTCAGTAATTGATGGGCACACTAAAGTACTCAAGCCACCGAATCCTCTTATGTGTGACATTTCGGGATTGGTTTTGGGAGTGTTTTAGAATTTAAGTACTGACTTAGGAAACCAGAATTCAATCCTTAGAAATTATGCAACAGAAAGTATTTATCTGAATAACTACAAGGCCCATTTGGTTTCTAAATGTGACCCCACCCAACTAAGTGAATCAAACATCGGAAGAGCCTCATTTGAGTAACCACAACAATACTGTACAGTTAAAACCTATGGGAACTCTCATCAATTATATGCCTTCACATGTTAAGATGCCATACTGAATCATGCCTGTACATGTATTTCAAAAACAAGACTGAAAGCACAACCTTTTATACATGCAATGCATGTGAAAAAAAATTGATGGGTAATTCCTAAAACTAGGGGTCCAGAAGTGTGACATGTTTGTGTCCCTGTTAAATCTGACATGGAAATATCACCAGAATTGTTTCAAACTGTAGGTATTTGTTTGGCAGGAAATTTGCATTGATTCATCACTTTTGGAAATTAGAAAATGTGTTCTGAACTTACAAAATCATATGTCAGATGTGACACAAAAATGGACCCTTATTTCTGGAATTATCCTGACTTATTTTGTGATCTTTGTGGGAACCAGAGACAAATAAGACAAAAATGCCTCATGTGCAATGTTTGCTGATCTGGGCCAAATCGGTTGCCTTCTCTGACTAAACAAACCAACAGTCTGATGATTTATATTCTTTACTGATCTATACCCCTTGCTAACAGTTTCCTTTGTGGCTTTCAATAATAGCGAGATACCTTGATACCCAGCCAACTGCCACAAATATTGGAGCGTCATTTGAACAACATTCATGCAGTATTCATTACCACAGCCTTGTCTCCTTCAACACTCCGGGGAGAACCCACAAAAGTGATATTGGCTACCACGACAGGCCGCACGCATCGGCTAAATTCCAGTTCAATGCACAGTCTGCCTCCGCAGACATCTCTTGGACTTTGTGTGCATGTACAAAACAAATGGAGGATTTGTGTGATTCAATGTCAGCCGAACGTGAGTCCAGGCATTCTTGATGTTTTTACTCGTTGGCCATGACTGTGTAAAATAGCCAGAATACATATCCTGAAGGGAGAGAAAAATGTCAGTCTTATCGAATTAACCCCTTTGCACCAGGACACGGCTAGAGCTGCCGTAAAAATTGAGATCCTCAGCCCGCTTTTCAGCTATTATTCTCGGCCCACACTTGAGCGAACAAGGTGAAAGAAGGCAGACCCTGGCTCTTGTAAATATGGTGATTGGTTTTTGTGTGTAGCCCAGAAATGAAAAGACTGAATTTGCATCATAATCACCAGCTTCACAATAGTCCCCATTTAACAGCTTAAAAGGAGGCAACGGGAATGTGGAAGCGTGAGTAGAGCCGCATGCCACCCAACAATGAGCCTTTTCACTGTGTAATTCAAAGCGTGCAGAGCACGCAGGGCCACAAACCGAGAATTTGCGGTTTGGCGGGTGGCCTTCGTGGCCAAGCGTGGCTGGAATTCTTGGAGCCTGCTTTCTGAAAGAAATTCCCGTCGTCAAGGGGTTAAAGGATTACATAAACAACAAATGGGTAGAATGTCAACAGTTACTGTACCACAAAAATGAATGAAATGTTCTATACTACATTTATATGTACTTGATTTTAGCTTAAGTAAGATTTGAAGCTTTACATGGTGGAAGAGACATGAGAAATGGGTTTGTGGGTACACCATGGAATCAGTCTATTTTGGGAGAGGTGTAGTTCTTAAAAGAACGGGTGAGTGTTAACTCAATGTTTCAGCCAGTGTGCTCTGGCCGTCCTCAGGACAGTGTGCCGGACTGGAGTGGATAGCTGGTTACTACCGGATTCAGCTATCCACTTCAGTGCGGCACACTCTCATGAGGACGGCCAGAGCACACTGGCCGAAACGTCAAGTTAACACTTATCAGTTCTTTTAAGAACCACACCTGACCAAAAGAGATTGATTCCATGGTGTACCCACAAACTAATTTCTGATGATTTTAGCTTAAAAAAAACAACACCTCTTTTCAATTCAAACTGCGCGAGTGTTTCTAAAATGTACTGGGGCTGTCCATTAAGCATTTTACATCCAGTGAAAAACCCTGTTGCTCTTCTATGACATGTAGTTTTAAATTACAACCTAAATTTGTTTAACATTACATGTACAATCAACGCTAGATCAACAAAAAACTTGTATGGAATTCACTTCCTCAAATCCCTGAAACTGTTTTTGCAAGAATTTTTTTTTTCCACATATAAAGGTACTTTTCCAGACAGCGGGGGTCACAGGAAACAGCATGATATATTGCTGTCAACAGGGAAATGGGCCACAGCCCCAAGCAATAATATCCCTGGAAGAGGCCATTTCTCTTCTTGGTGAAAGTACATGTTAAATTACACATGGTCGAATTTGACAAAATTAATTTTAAAAAAATTTAGTCACAAGTTGCCGGAGCCAATTTAGAGTTTGGGGCAATTCCATGTAAAACTGGACATGAAACCCCAAACTTCAAAGTTCTGTTAATGTGAATTTAGTATCAAGGGGAAGCTTGGACTCCATGTTTTTCAGATACAAATTTAGAGTTTTGATTTTGACATCATCAATGCAAAGAAGGATTAATGATCAGCTGCTTTTTTCACAAAAATGTGATAAACTGTAATAACTCATAATTGAGCAACTCACACACGTCTGGCCATATTTGTAAGTAGAAAACAATAAAAGAAAACAAAGGTAAACAAACAAAAAAACAAACAACCTAACAACCCAACACCCCAACAAACAAAAAATGAAACAGGTTTAATCTGAACATTTCATTTCAAAAATGTTTGCTTCCATACATGTAAGTTGGTTAATGAAACTTTAAATTCCGATAACAAAAATTATACAGTTTCTTGCTATCTGTAAATGCCGTGATTGGAATGTTGTGAAAATTACTATGCAATACAAGTTTTGCTACATGTGGGTCACAATATGATGCTTTATCTCGCCAAAAAATCTTTTACTTTGCTAATTACAGTTAATTATAGAGAGTGAAAGAATGACAGTAGCATCGTGTATGGAGGATGAAAAGTGGCCATCTGCTTCTCTGCTATCAGAATAGTAGAAAAGTAGATTTTATGTCTTTGTAACATGCAATTTTTAACTTTTCGACTACCTCAAAAGCAGAATGACCATTTTATTATATATGTATACAGTTTGACAGCTATCATCAAATAGGTACACAAGCTTGCTTGGGCCATGAAAACATGCGAATCTCTCATTATACAAAAGATAGGGTGGACTGTAATTATTGGTTTATATGATTCAATCCCCTAGAAAGGAAATTATCATAACCTGACGTTCAAAACCCCTTTCATGGCCCTTGGAAGGCAGAAAAGCAGAAAGCCACTTTTTGGCCTCCTATGTAAAATCAGCTTCTCTGGTGTAAAAAAAAAAAGCCAAAAAAATAGAACTCACGGTTGTTATCAAAATGTCCGATCCTCATTTCTGCCTGCTCAAAAGGAAAAAATCAGATGGCCACTTTTCGGTCGCCAGCGAATGAAGAAAAAATAACATCTGCTTTTCTTGAAGCAGAAAAGCAGAAAAATTGAAAAACGCATAACCAACCAATGTTCGTTTGGGCTTTTTGGGGAGACAGAAAAGTCTAAAATAGCACGGTACCGGAACATAAAATCTGCTTTTCTACTATTCTGATAGCAGAAAAGTAGATGGCCACTTTTCATCCTCCATAATAGTGACCAGTTTTATATTCATCAAGGGCATCAAATGGTCACTGGACAAAAACATCACAGAATAAATATTGCTTTTTACCGACGCCTTGCCGATTTCGCTTTAGCATGCACATTTGCTGAGCATCTCTGGGAAATTGAGTACACATGGTTAACTCCAATATAACTCAAGAGGGAACAGAAAAGATGACAAAAGACCTCTTACAGGCAAATGTTTGGTGGTGCAAAAACTACTTTTCTGTGAACCACTCCAGCTGTTCAGACAATTTCAATGTTACATGTCAATTAGCTTACATTTAAGTGCAAAACGTCCAAATCTTTTAAAGCCTATTTAGCACTTTCTTTATTGTTATTTTGTTTTGCATCACGAAATGTACATATTAAAATACAAACACAAACAGCAGAACCAAAGGACAAACCAGTGGCACATGCCAGGAGAAAAGAAAAGTATACTTAAAACCTACGACCCGAAGGCTGCTTATGTCGGTAAAGTCCATGTACCCTGGAGGGGATTTCCCTCACTGTTTCCCTGAACCCTGACTTTTGATTTAATTGGATGGCATCCAAGGAAAGACTATTATTACGCTTCAAAAATGAAACACTGAGGGTTTAAGAGGAAAGTTTGTAATATCAAAGCTCAAAATCGTGATTTTTGTAATTTTTATTCACAGGTTAATATCTAAGAACTGCAAATCCAAGAAAGGGATGTTGGTACCCGTATGCCCATACGCAGGAAGGTGTTCTACTTTTTTTGAAACACCATGATGATGTCACCATGTGTCAGTTGAAAAATGAAATGAAAAATAGGCCAACTTTGGTAACACACAAAAATTCCACCGTCAAATCCTCCACTCGTGTAGAAACTAACTTCAAAAACTAAGAATAAAAAAAGAACAGTAAAAACAGGTGGGAAAAGATACGTGTTCGTCACTTTACATTTTTGTCACAAATTTTAGAAGCTGTAGAAATATACGGAAATGAGGAGAAATCTCATGTCTGTAATGCAGATGCTGATTTGATATCACAGCAAAAACCATTCTTTATGGTAACGTAAGCACTCTTGTAGGTCAATATCATTCCGAGACACAATATTAACCAACTCAGCTGCATACATGACTAGCCACTGGAAGATTCATAGCTTGTTACCTACATGGGATTTATGGCTTCAGTCTTCATTCATCTCTGGTTCCATTCGTTCACATCCATTAGTTTCAATCCCTATTTACATGTACTAAATGCACTTTGGGCTTACAATGATGTCAGGTGCGCAATCTCACTGCAATTTGTCTAGATATAATACATACGTACCCTGCCCATTCCAGAGTGTTTATGTGGACTGTACATCTACGACAGAAAACCTCCACAATACCTAACAGCGTCGCACCTCGGAAACGAACAACTAAATATCCCAATTAACTTGGTATCTTACAAGCATTGCGTACGCATCTGCTTTAATCAATGACAATTCACTGCATTGCAATGTTTCACGCATGGTCAACCAAGCAACGCACGCTCTCAGTCTCAGTGCGGCCACTATTCACAACGTGAAGATGCAATGCACTAGTGGATTAGATCTATTTGTACACCGAATATTAAGCATGCCTGTGGCTCTACAATTAACTTGCGTATTACAGTCACATGGTACGTGTTCATGTACACATTGTATCCACTGAACTTGTTCAGCATACCAATGTGTGAATACGGGCGATTCACAATAGTGCGCCACCAAGAGTTTGCAATACATTGGCCAATCATAACACCTAAAATTATGTCGATCCTTTCCAAACGTGCAGTGGGTCGACAAATTTCGCACATTGTGATTGGCCAACACGTTACAAACTCTTGGTGGTGCACTATTGTGAAACGGCCGTATTTATTACATAACTGTATCCAATCTGTGCACATACGTAACTCAACGCCAGATACATTCACAGTTAGATGCCACAGCGTTCAGCAGCACAGGCTAGCACATTCATGTCAAAAACAAGGCTGATCTTAATTGAACACATATGTTGAACTGGCTTCCTAACTTTGGCTGTTTCTACATAACAGTATACTGTAAACAAAAAACAAAGCATGCACCCCGTCCCACGAGACACACCCAACCCAACCCACCCTAGACCCAACCCCATTCCAACCGATCTAATCCGAACCAACCAAACCCACCGCAACCCATCCCACTTAACCTAGCCTACTAACCCCCTACCACCCAGCCCGACCCCAACGAACCGGCCAAGATCCTTACCGATTGGCTGGGCTGTGCCTGGCTCTGCTTCCCGGGGGTAGTAGGTCCTACTGCTACATGAGCTCGCCTCGCTGATGCCGGTTTCTGAGGGGTAACGACTGGCAACAGTTGACGGACATAGAAAGGCATCTGACTGCTACTGGATGAGGCCGATGCCAGACTCCACAAAGGTACCGGCTTAGATTTCTGCAGATTTGAATTACGTTTTTTTTTTTATAAATTGGACACATTTTGTTCTGGTTTTGACCCAAGTCACAAGGTTTTGGCACGAAAAAAAATGACTGCGGGAAAAGTGTAAAGTGTACATGAAGAATGCCCAACCCTACAACGTGCAAATGGTTGAATTTAAGTACATGTATGCTGACTGAAGATTCAACTAAAGGAAATTACATGTACATCTGTATAACTTCAATTCTAAGTTTGTCACATCTTGCCAAATCCGCCAGGTTTTGAAGATCTCTGCGGCATTAACCCTTTCCCTACCGTGTGTGTCAAATCAAGGGCAAGTCACTCCTGCATGACCTATAGTTCAACCACTAACCAAATGCCTTTTATCAATGCACAGCAGTGCAGTCTCGCTTGAGTGACCCCAGTCAAACCATTTCTTAAAATCCACATCGTCACATTTTGCTGTTAGCTACAATTCTGGCAGCGTTCACAGTCGGTGACAACTTATATAATTATTATCATGTGTATGGTTCCCTCTGTACTGAGAAATTACATGTGAATTGGCTATTAATAACCAGCATTGCAACTCTGCCTACGAGCCTGGTCACAGGTGGTCCAAACCATCCATCATTTGGGAGATGTTGGTCAAATCACAGGTAACGACAGCTGACTACATTTAACAATTGCTCCAACTTGCCCCCGATTGAAATCACTAGAATTAAGGAAGATAAGACTCAACCATTGCTTCAGTCAGGGTTTGGTTTCCCTCAAGGATCAGAGGGCAAACAATGCACCATTGGACTCCCATGTAGTGGAGGATTTTAGAAGATTCATGCGATTCCTAGATTCTCAGGAAAAATACACTGCCAAAAAAAATGACGGTTTCTTGGCTAAACCTAGATTTGTAACAGGCTATGCTAAAAAAAGGGGACAAAAACTCAAATTTCTCACAGACTTTTTTGTCAATTTAGCACCCTTAGGGATGTTTGATGAATACCTTGGCACGAATTCCATTTAGTCTACCGTTTACATAAAGAATCTGTTCAGCCTGTACCAAGTCCTTGAATACATTCATATATGATAAAATGACTACTACATATGCAAATGATTATATTTAAACTGAATATTCATATTGCAGTAAAATGAAATAAAAAGGAAAAACTAGACTGTCTTCTGATAAAAATTGTGGTGGCAGGCTATCAGCAGCACAAAAACATAATCATTCCACATATTATCAAACTTCTCATAAAAACTTTTTCTGGAGCAAAAGTATTTATCTAAAATAACATCATGTGATAACGCTTTACTAAATAATAAATCATTTCCTTTGTGCTGATAAAAGTGAGAAATTCTTGTAATGATTATAAGGTATAACTTTGAGTATCAACAAGAAATGCTTCTCTAGAGGCTTGGTTGACTGAATATTTAAATATTTAATTGAATATTAGGTGGAATATTCATTTTTCAATCTGAGTAAGCCCTCAAACTGGTAGAAACTGGTCCTTGCCAAACTCAAAATGTGGCTGCTAGGCAACTTACTTTCCCTGGTGACGAGTCACCGAGGTCCTCCTCTTGGTGGGCTTGTTGACTCGCGGCAGCTGCTGCCTCAGCCAGATGTATGCAAGTTCTCGGTTTGCGGGGCGACAGGTTCTGGTGTCGCCTGGCTACCCTGCTCCTTTTCATACTTGGTGTTTTCTTTACAGAGGTGCGTTCCTACATGAAAGGAGAATGCAGACATGTGTTCCTGTGTGATGACACCATGATTTTGTGCCCATTCAGCCAAAAATTGGCTACATGCACTCTGCACCATAGGTACATAGACCAGCACACTACAGTACAATCCCAATGCCAAGGCATATTTCTCTACAAAGACGATATCTGTTTTGTGTACATTCAGACAAAAAGCGAACATACTTTCCAGTGCCTGAATGCATTATATTCTTACACTGAATCTCAGAAGTACTCCGTGGGCCACACAACATAAATTCCTGCACTCACCCTCTCACCAGTATCAATACCCCTGCGTGTACATCTAGCATACAGCAAAATGGAAGGTTACGAAGCACAGAGAATATCTGCTTTCACCAAAAGACGGTCACAGGCCAGAACAGCCATGGGATGCATACTGCTTTCAACTGGTGCACTGCTGTCTTTTGCTCAACACACCAAGTTCTTAGGCATGACTTTCTGTGCTCCGATTCATCTCTCCTGTGATTTACCTGCGGGACTACGAGATCAGCCATCCGGGCCCCTAACACTTGACTGCGTTCCTCGACCGTTCTCCTCAGGAGAAGTGGAACCTCTCTGATAAGAAGCACATCCAAACGTGAACCACAGTATAAAAATCTCAATGTACAAATATATAGACATGCAACTGGGAAGTCGGGGAAGACAATAGGGCATTCCAGACAGTGCAAGACTGCGAACAGTATCTTTTCATTTGCACTTTCGCAAACAGGAAGTAACAAAAAAATACAAAAACCAGGAAATCAGCTGATCTGCGGAGAATCTGCCTGCCTCACAGCAATCTGGCAGTATACATGTACATTCACTACTGCATGGATGTCACTTTCAATATTAAAGGGAAACAGACTGTCCTGCAAATCTGACATACATGTACCAACATAAAATCTGACAAGCTGGGAAGTTGGTTTTAACACCAGGGCTTCAGTTTTCAAGTATTTGCTAATTTTAACCAACCAGAGATTAGGGAACAGCCAACTTGGTGGGCTAAATGAGGCCGCAATTGTACTTCATTTCAACCTGTTGCAACAATGGACAATTTTGTCACACACTGTTCATTTTGAAATTACAGGAAAGTCGGAGGCCTGAAAATTAGCTTGACAAATGAGGGCGCTGTTCAGATACTGTGAAGTCATTATAGGAAGGCTGTGTCCATTTTGGCTTTTTCTGTTCCAACAGTGAACCAAAAATTTGCTTACTAAAAAGTTTGTGAGAAAACTTTGCTCACTGTCATGAACTAAAACAACAAACAATCCCCAAAGTAAACAGAAATTTACAAAATCAAATGAGTCAAAATTCTGACAAATGTTTGTGCAGTAATGGCTACAATAGTGAGATTCCTTTGGACGACATTATGCTTTTGCTCATGAGCAAAATGCCTTAAAATGGCTGACACAAAATTAAATCAGGTTACATGGTACGAAAACAGGTATTTGGAAGAAGTGCTTTAAAAGTTGCATTGTACGGGCCCATTCAATATGGTGGCTGCATCATTGTGTTTGAAACTATGACATAAGATCCTCTTCCCTCCATAGAACACAGGAGAATACCTACTTATTTTCAAGTTTCTTGCCAGTCCTTTTCTTGCGGCCCATCTTTCCGGTAGGCTTGGGTGCAGTTCCAGAAGACTGGGCAGCGGCCTCCCCCATTGACACCTTGGCATCAGGCTGCTGAACCAGTGAGGCAGACAGGGCCAGCGCCATTTGAGTTTCCTCATCTAGGGGCCTAATATACACCAACGAAACATCATTTGCATGCATACCGACTCCCCATCAGCAATTGGTATTTTGGCTAACAAGCTTCCTCAACCACAGCATAGGAAACAGATGGCGCATTCTTTGCAATTCAACTCACAAGGGCTATTAATGTCCACGTTCCACACTTTTGAATTTCTTAATGCAATGGTGGCTTTGTGTAATTTCATCAAGGGAATTATGGAATGATCCATTTCATAGGAAATTATTCTTACCATTGTACGAATGTAAAACATTACATGATTTGCTTTTATACATCTGAACAGATCTCCATTATCTGATAAGTAAATGTAGAAGTAACTTGCATTCACTTTTCATTCCCCTTTTTCTCAAATTTAAACTATCTAGGCAATAACTATCGCCATGGACTTTAGAAAATGTCAATTTCAGGAATGGTGTCATTTGCTGATTGCTGTAGCTTTATTTCAAATGAGCACGAAGCAAAACCATCAAAGGATAACTGGAGAATACAGAAAAAAAAGTGAAGCCTGGATTTCAGAGATGTCGCATCTTATGAGTATGCATCTGATATTATAGCAAGAGCCTAACACTAATGGGCAGAATGTTGATCAGACAAAAGATTTCAATTTGCATGCAATTCTGCAGTTACAGGCGCAGTACTTGTCCAGATTCATCAAGGACTACAGTATACATGTACATGGCTGAAGCAGACAAGAATGCCAATTTGTATCTGTAACGCCATGTCAAATATACGCAGTGCATATTTGCTTGAGTTGAATCTGCTTTATCGCTGTTGAATTCCCTTTGTCCAGTCACATTTGAAAAAAAAAAAGCCCGTACAACAGGCCCTTCGAACCCTTACGTGCAACCGGCTACTCACTGTGTTTCCACGGGCGTCTGGTGCTTCTGCCTGCCCTTCCCTCTGGTGCCATTCCTCCCCCTGCTACCCTTCCTGCCTCCCCTGCCTCTGGTAGCTGATGACCCTGATGAAACCGCAATGCCTGCCGACCCAAGTGCGTCCACAGAATTGGCCCTCGCTGTCCCTGTATCTGACTTGACACTGGCTGCGGCAGCTTTGGCACCCGCTGATGTGCCCTCCAGACCTCCTTCCAGGCCTGCTGTGACCGTACTGCTCACGAGGGCTCCTCTATTGCAACCTCTTGTAGAACCTCCTACGGAACCAACTGCAGAACCTCCTTCAGAACCTTCTGTGGCACTTCCTGTCAACCCCCCGACAGAACTTCCGGCCTCACCTGTTCTAAAACCTCTACTGGAGCCCCCATCGGAACCTCCAACTGAGCCTCCTATGGACCTCCCTTGAACAGACCCTCCTCTGGCACTTCCACTGGAACTTCCACTGGAACCTCCTGTGGAACTTCTGGTGGAACTTCCCACAGAAACTCCTACTGAACCTTCATTCCGCGGTAGTTCCTCCTCCTGCACTCTTACCAAAGCAATCAGCTGCTGAGCTGATACCTCATGCTTCCGGGCGCATTTCTTCAGATGTGATTCTCTTTGCTATAAACAAAAAGACAATGAAAGGAGGCAAACAACAACATTCAATATGATTCTGTTCAATTTTATTTTCGAAGAATCAAGGGAAATCACAAAGAATATTTTGGGCTTTGGCATGGTTAAGGTTAATCACAAAATGCCGTATTCCTTTAGTTCTCTACTCAGATCTTCAGTAAAGTGAGAAAATTATGACTAATTTGTTACAGAGTACTTAATATAAACCCCAAAAATGTTTTAAAACAAAATGTAAATCATTCCCCTTGGAATGCATCAACATACGAGTCTGTCCACAGTAGTTAGACTAACATTGGACACAAAACCTCACCCTTTTGGTACTGAAGTGTTTGCCACAAACAGGGCAGTCGGGAACTGCTTGTCTCACTGGTTGGATTCTGACTGGTCGCTGTGGTGGTTCAATTGCTTCTATGGTATCAATGCATCTGAGATATTGGACAAAAATTACTGTCGTTAATCTATGCTTATCAAGCTCCTCCTGTGAGATTTAATACTTTCTGAACTTTGCTTTCACTCTAAAATACAGTGTGTAGTCAAATACACTGGGATATTCTCTTTGTAAGCTCACTTTCTATGGATTTGGTGCACATTCAGCTGAAAATTTCATTTTGTGTAGTCTTTACCATTCACTATGCACATATATATACAAACAAACCACAACCACCCTTGTATGGGCTTCCAATCCACTTCTGTGTGATACATGAACATCCGAACATTCCTATTGCTTGGTTTTACGGGTAGAAAATTTCCAAGTGAACCATGCGTAAAAACCCTGATTTATCAAAATCCTTTCCTCAGGTTGTCAACTGCCACTCGCTCTACTGCACATAGCAACATGTTAACTTTAAGAAAACAAAGCCGCTCTGGGGCAATCGGTTGGCGGCCCACTCTATTGTGAAATTGCCCGTATGGCTCCCGGTTCTTGCCTGTTGATGTGTTGGGCTCTCCTGGTGGTGTTCATGTGGCTGAGATCTCTCTGGCAGAGGTGGCAGAAGTACCTCTCACTGTCCGTCAGCCTCTCCTCCTCTAGCTTCTCTTCCTCCCGTCGCTGTAGCTGCCGGGCAAACTCCTCATCGCCGCTTGTGTCACCTTTGAGAATTCCAAAAGACAAAAGAGGAGGAAAAAAACCATAGAGAAATTACTGAATATCGGTCTATCTGCTCAGGCTGTGTTCATTGTTTGGATATTCCATTGAATAATTGAATATTTATTTTCACAATCCAATATTTGGATTTGAAAATCTAAGAACTGAAAAACAGCAACACATTTTAAAGGTGTTAGGAGTATTAACACAAAGGCAGCTAATGAATATTCTATGTCCCAAAATATGACCAAATAGTACTTCTCCCTCAACACTGTATTCAAATTGACTCGGCTTTGCTAGGGGTAGCTTCCATTTGGTCTTCATTCCTGACAAAAGGACACAACGAATAACAACACAGGAACGACATTGGTGGGTGACCCCTCCACCCTGTGAGGCCAACAGCATGAACTAAAAACGATCATCGTTGTTTTCTACTCAGCAGACCTCTGTGTTTCAATCACAAGCAGATGTGTCGTCTTGCAGAAAATGAAAGAAACATTATATGTACTTGCGACATCATTCTGGAAAGCTTCACACAGTTTACTTTTGCCACAATACAGAAATTGCAAAAAGGGGGCAAACTTATTAAACAGAACAGTGTTAGAGTCAAACCTAAGGGCAGGTACACATGTAAAACAAATGCCCGGGGTCTGCTTGACAGCAACATTCTTGTAACAGAATTTTTCTTTCTTTTTATTTTAACACAGGGCCCGATTAAGGCCTTTAATCCTGACCCAATAACGCATACTTCGTAAGAATTTTGCCAAGGGAAACAAGATTCAAAAACCAGAACAGGAAATCTTTCATTCACTGTTAGCTCACCAACACAGATTTGCTTTGCTGTAGGATCTTGTCGAATTCATTGGAATAAGGTTGACTTTCCTCTAAATTTCAGAGACATGTACGGTATCTTCCCACAACCATTTCAATTTTTTTGTTAGGGCAAAAAGTATTTGTGAATATAAAAACTACATGCATTATCATAACACAGTCTGTGTACGCATGCCTACACCGCATACATGTACCTACTGTGGGCATTCATTGTACATGTGCATATCCATGTTTTTAAAGAAACCAGGGAGAAAGTTCTCTGTTTTTCTTGTAACTGTGAACTCCATTTTAGGCTGGATTTTTGTTGAGGGTTTCCTTTACTTTTTCTCTTCATTCTGTTGTGAATAACCCTAATCTACAATGCCTCTGAATTTTTTTTCAGAGAGCATACATGTACATGTACATGTACATGTGAGCTTTACGAACCTGACGTGCCCCACATAAAGTTCCCACATGCTGCATTTAGTAAAGTCTGCATGTATTTCTGGTCTGGGATCCACACAAAGTACATGTACATTGTATAGACTAATGCCAGGCACCACACTCACGTGAGTGTCCTTGAACTTTCGGCAAGCGTGCCGTTTGGCAAAGTGCAATGCTCTAATTGGTCACTGAACACACACTCGTACAACCTGCAATTGTGCAATGTGCTACCATGGTAATAAACCTTATTCATGAGAAAGCCATTTTCAATCTTATTTCCTGAATCTGTTTTACATTGTATAACTTGCAAACTGTCAATAAGGATGGCCCAAGACTGTTTTTATAATATAATTCCCAGCCTCCCTTTCAATACTTTTTCTAAATCTGGCTTAAAATACGAAGGCATGCTTTTGATTGGTTAATCATAAATTCACAATTATTCATCAAAGTACAGTAGAATGTATGTACTTACACTACATGTAATTTATCATGAAATTTCATTTCAGTGCCTGCATTTCTATTCTCAACATTCAAAACTGAAGAGATTAAGGATTTTTATTTCAATATGGCTGACCCATGAATAACGTCTATGGCTTTCTTTTCTGGTCAATAAATCAGTACATACAATGTGATAATCTAACAAGAGCAGGATTGCAGATACATGTACATGTACAATCCGTGTGTACGGAAGTTGGCAGCCATGGTGCACATGTACATGTACTCTCGACATATCTGTATACATGTACAGGTACGCCTATCTTGTTTTGTAATTTCCATCTCTAGAGGACCCTGGTTCGAACCAAACAAAGGCCTGATTTGTGGGTTACAGTTTTTCGGTTCAAGACGTGTTCAAATATTGAAATACTGTACCAGAGTTGCCTGTGTAATCTCGGGCCTGGACGGAGTTAGCAAACCGTTGGCGCAAACACCTTTCTACATGTTGCTGTATGGTCTCTGTTGCATTTATGCCATGGAATGTCTCTTGGCATACTGGGCACCTACGGAGATTGTCCCTGGCCTGGTCCGCAGGGGGTTCGTTCCTTGCATCGCCGTCTCCGAAGTTACTAGTTTCAGGGAGTGAGGCTGGCTTGGACTCGGCCTCACTGCATCCAGTTGACGTATCAGTAGCCGGATTGGACAGATGCATAGGCTCAAGGGGCTCATCTGACACGGCTACCTTGCAATTTAGCTTGGCGGCGGGCTGAGAGTCTGAAGATAACTTCAGTCTGGACACATACACCAAACAGGCCTTTACTGGAGATTTGTTGACGGAGGTGGGAGTGTTCACGGCATCCCCATAGCTTCTGGTTTTAACATTAACGGATGACTCAGGGGTGTTCAGCTGGCCTCTTGATTGTTTTTCCTCTTTGCTGGTGGTGGGTTCACTGTGGTCCAGGGTATCAGGGGCCGACTGATTTACCGAACCTGAGGTCTGGGTTTTCGAAGCTTTGCTGCCCTTGAGCCGGCTGAGGGATGTATCAGCCTTTCGCCGGCATCCGGGTTCTTGGAGGGCTGGGCCCCGGCTCCATGGCTCCTTGAAGTCACTGCTCTGGTTCAAGGAGGTCTCTCCGAGGATGGCTTTCATCACCTCCCTGTGGGCACTCGCTGATGAGGGATTGTGTTTGCCAGGGGGGCCGAGGCGGCCGGCATCTCGACGGCGGGACAGCCGGCCTATCCTGGAGGATGTCTTTGAGGGGTTGGAATCACCGCTGGCCCTGCAAAGCTCAACCGAGTCAGTCTTGTCTGGCACGTTCTGTTGGCCAGCTGATTTCTGAGCAATGTTTGTATCATTCAACTCTGGGTGGCCATCCTCAGTTCTTGCTGACAATTTCCCGCAATCGCTCTGTGATGCATTATTCGGGGTCTGTTCTTGAGGCATCTCATTCATGACCAACTAGCTCTGACAGGGAGACCAAAATTTTCAAAGTTACATGTAGCGTTTCAGAACAGCTGTGTTGACAAATGCAGACCAGGACTGTAAAATGGAACATCAGCATCAAGATACATTCCACTATGCTCTCATCACTGGCTTAAGTTGCACGTTCTTCAAAGAATTTCTTAATGAGAAAATTTCAAATATCGCCACAAATAACAAAGTCTATACTTCCTCAACATGTCAAACCGTTGATCCTATTCCTCATCTCGATGGAAATCAGTTGGTATCATGAAATTAAAAGCTTCACATCATGACTGAAGAATCATCTCGATTGTTCATTGTTTATTCTACAGTTAAGCAACCTATATATATACAGCCTGCAGTCAAATGGCACGGAGCACTACATGCTACGTAGCATGGCTCGTCATGGCTTCATATCTTCTGTAGCTTTTTTCTTATCGGTTACGATGCGCGTCCTCTGTTCGTTGACGCGGGCCTGGTGAGCTAGCATCTCTACGTAGTGCTCCTGGTCTTCCTGTTGGTGTTTGCGGCGTGCCTCGTCAACATCTGTCATGAATGTTTGCCTGCAGAATATTGGGATAGGAGCAACAAAATAAACATAAAAAAATACAAAATCAGTCATCCACCAACAAAGAGGTGTAAGGTTAACAGGGTACTTTCCCTGGTCCTGATCATCAAAATTCATGGATCAGGTGGTGTTTCAGATGACATTTCGAACTGAAATTTCTGGAAGAATTGTCCCTAATACAACAAGTATTCACTTGCACATTTAGTTGGGTTTTTTTTCTGATCTCTTACATGTACATGTGAGAGATCTGTCAATTTTTTTTCCCTTCTTTTTAAATTTAATCATACATGAATCGTACCAAGTAAGTATCAAGACACCCATAAGCATGTACGTACATGTATGCGCCTTCAGCATCTAAGTTTATTCCAGAAATAAACTGTAGCTTATTTAAAAAAAGGATGCCTTTATGATTACCACAATCTCCTCACTAATACTGCACAACCTGTGAAACAGCATGACCAGAGAACACCAGGAAAGTGAGACCCAGGAGGAAAACCGATGTGCCCCAAGGTTTGGGTGATATTACAATCTCATCTTATCACAACCAGAAACTACAGCACAATGTGGGCAGTACATGTACATGTACATGTACGTTTATCTGTTCTCAAGGCCAATAAGCTGCCTTTGACATTTTGCAGGCCCCTGGACAATACTGCCCATTAGTCCGGGCAATTATCACCATGGCAACAACAGCCTGTTGCCTTAGTAACTGTGTAGTGAAGCAAGGCATGACAGGCTCTCAGCCTTTGAAATTTATTTCTGATGAGGCCTGGTAAGGCTTGGTGTACAAACTACTTTAACAACTACCAAGAGTAAGATGGCAATTAGCCTGTGCCAGTAAAAGGATATGGATTTCTTAGAAGCACAATAGCTGCACTGTGAAAGCAACCTTGTTGGATACATGCAAAATGAAAAAGTTTAATGGACATGGACTAAAGACAAAAACTGAGGGTCAGAGGTCGCCAACTCCAGAGGGTGCACTCACTATCACTGACACTGATATTATAATCATAATTCATTCATCAACCTCATTTCACCTTTTTGTACCTCTTTTGTGAGGAAAGCCGATCATCAAATTGTTAATTGCCAAATGGTTGGCATTTAAAAATTTGGTTATAACCCTGAAAAAACCAAATGGCCAAATAGTTGATACATGTACGTATAAATTTGGATATAACTCTGACGAATGGGCGAGAAAACAATTGTACTGGCACACCAAACAAGTACATGTATTTGGCAGAAAAAAATGTGAATTCAGTTCAGACTTTGTGTGCTGCGTTTACTCATGAGTGTGTCGTACATGTGCATTTTAATCCCAAACATATGCTTTCAGCATTACTAGAAAAAAGGCCCACTACTTTGGTCCCTTTCCACAATCACACAGACCAATTCTGGAATTAATATTTCTGAAGAAATCTCAGCACTTTGGGCACCCGATGACCTGAATCATCATTGAATTTTTTTGACTTGTTACACTCCACGTCTTGTGACTCTCGTAGTGCCAATTAATCCATACAGGACTTCAAGTAATGTTCAGTGTCACACTGTCATCAAATATTGCAACAAACTGAGTGCATTGAAAATGAGTTTGGGAAGGAATACAAATGAATGGGGTGCTGTGAGGTGATGTTTAAATTCAGGAGTTTAAAGCAAAAGAGCACATTATCAGTCAAGAGTATATGTATTACCAAATATGGGCATAATGACCTGTCCCTGTACCCTTCCTGGCTATATTCTGGTGGTCATCGCCAAAACGATTTCATTTTCGTCCAACTTCAACATTACATCTCAAGTTAGCAACGATGAATTTCTAATCACATCAGTACAAACATGTTTTAGAACCCACAAATGATGTCTGTAATGGTCTTGTATGTATAGCCAAATAAATGTAGATTTTTTGCAAACACAACTTTCCAGTCTGTGTTATTTGTTCCATATGCTTCAACACTTCAGAAAAGGACCGGGTGTCATGGAAACATCCACAATCATTTGCGGGTTGCTAGAACAGGCCTAGTGATTGGTCAGACTGCACAAGGTTTTGACATATATGTATACCCTGTCCAATAGGGTAATACCCCAGGCTGATTATTGTGCTTGTGCAAGAATTCATCGTCACAAAAAAGGAACTTCAAGATATTACTGGCAGTTTCAAAAAATGTGCAATAACTGTGTTACGCCCCAACTATAGCATAAGTCCAAACCATAGTTGGGCCCGTCCCAACTAGAGTGCTTCACCTGGGCCGGCCCAACTACAGCAGAGAGGTCCTGTGTGCATGATGTGCCCACCATGTGCCAAAGTCATATTGTTTACAAATTTCATGTCACTGATCATGGGGCTATATGAACAGATGAAGTGCCACATTTTAGATGAATTGTGTCAAGTGTGAGACACATTGACTTGGATAATGTTGAGACATTTGCCACAGACATTGGTCAACAATAGTTGGGCCAGCCCAATTGCAGCACTACAGTTGGGACTGTCCCAACTATAGTTGGGAATTATGCTATAGTTGGGGCGTAACAACTGTATCCGGTATGCATTTCACGTGATTTGTAAAACAAAGCCATCACTGGTCATGTTACATGTACACTGTACACATACAGACATACTAGCACTGGAGAGCCTGATGATGATTAGGACGATTCAGTTCATTTTTTAACACATTGACTTTTGTGCATTACTTCAGAGGGCGTTCCCATTTGCTAAGGGTTGTACGCATGCACGCATATTTAATAGGTATCAGGTCTATATTTCAATTACAGATGAATGTCCTCCACACTGCCAGCAGTGTATTTCTTGTGTTCTTTAGTGATGCCAGTGTATTCAATTTACATCACAATAGCCTTTCATTTCCTACATGTATACTTGTAGTAGCAGAATCCCGTACACCATGGCTAGGCCTACTATGATTATACTTGCACTCTTGTTGTCGGCTGTCAAACATGTTGAAAAAAAAAACACCGCGATTAACATAACTACATGTATTTTTCCATTTGTCATTTTGTGATTGACTTTTTTTATGTTGTGGCATGATGTGCAACGATAAAAGCATGACGATGAATCACTCATGTCATTCTTTTATCTTTTTCCCCACAAAAAAAAGGAAATGACATAGGGTCTAACTTCCATAGAAGTTGTTTGGTTTATCAAGGGCTGTCATTGGCCATGTTGGCTGGCATCCAGACTACAGTAAAACAACCCTAATCCACTAAGGGTGTGTGTAAAACCCCCGCTGAAAATAATAATGATGAATTGGAGCTCCGAGGGATGGAACTTGTTAAGCATTCCACTGCACAGAGTGAGGATTAAGCCTGTGAATGTTTACTGGCTGCGCAAGTGCCGCGCACACGCTTGTAAGTTGCATGCTTTTTTCATGTTTTTACACACACCTAACGTACCTGAACACAAAAGCTGTTGCAAACCCAGCCAGTATTGAGCCGAACAAGATCGGGTATCTCCACTTTGTAAGACCAGAGAACCTGGCCATAGTTTTACAACTGGTCAAATTAACACGCTTTTATGGATAAAATGAGAAAATTCCTATCCCCACTTTTTTTACTCCCCCAGCAGCTGCATGCACGTAAGTTGCAAAGGCGCAGTCACAAGACCTCACTTTAGTTCACGACCATCGACAAATCGTACACCTAAGGATGGGAACTAGACTTGGATGCGATGAACAAAATGAGGGCGCCCTTTATTGAGCCAAACTTCACAGATTTCTTTTAATTCAAATACATTTAATGGTCCAGCCATTCAGCTATACTAGGAGTACATCTACATTTGTATTATTTACTTTGCTGGTTGTATATATAAACTTTATTACATCCTCCTGGGAGTTTCAAAGTCGTTAATAATGGCCTGTAGTTGAATGCGTTGAAAAATAATAAAGAACAGGCCAACTTGTCCATCGATTTTCGGATTTGTTGTTAATTTTGTTTTGAAGTCTCGTTTCCATGTTTTTATGTACATGCACAAACCAACTTGAACTTCAACACGAAGTGACTACATGTATCTCGAGCAGAAATGAACGTATAAAGTTGTCCTGCTTTATCTCCCTACACAAAATACGTCTAGCTTGGAGAACCACAAGGCTTACCGTGAAGTTTAAAATTTACCAGCCTTATGTGATCTGATGACGAGCGTCAGACAATACGCACAGGTTAGGCCTATTTCTCCAAACCCTGAAGCTATGCAAAGGGGAAATTAGAGGGAAATTCCAACACTCACTGCATGCACAGTAAGTTGCGAAAATGTGGAAAGTCCCAAGAGTGTCGGAATTTGTGTTCACCTTGGCCTTCACAAATTGGAGTCCCGGGCTTTCGGTTTCAGTTTCTTTGTTTGCAAACCGTTGGAAATGGCCATTGTGATCATAGAATAACAAGCAACTTGAACATGTCTGCACACGGTCGACCACGTCAAAAGGCCTTGTTTCGGCAGCAGATGGGGGGGGGGGGCTTTACATATGAAATGATATTCCTATGTCAGAGATTTCCTTGCCTAACAAGGCCACTGATGGTGAAATTGGCCCCCTACGACCTTTAGCATCGCTAACAGCAATGAGTTGGTTCAAAATAAATTATGAAGATCGTGCATTCATGTGAACCACTTTTGTTTGAAACACAAAGTTGCATTCTGGTTTTGGTGCAGCAGAACTTCTAATGTATGTATGATTTGGTTACAATGTATACATCATGTAACTTGATGCAACCTTGCATTTTACTTTCAAACAAAAGTGGTTCACATGAATGCACGATCTTCATATTTTGCAACAGCATTATTACTATATTAAGTATATATCTGACTCGATCCAGTTTTTAAATTGAAGAATTTCAAATAAATGAATAAATATGTGCTTGGCCAGTCTAAAATGAACGTTTAAGACAGGCCAAGTACGCAGGTACGTTTGTGCGTACAAACAGAGAAAATTTTTATTCTGCAAGAGTTGATTACCACTGCAGGCAAAAAATCATACATCGTTATCCTAGGGGCTGTTTTTCAACTACATTATGCTAGGCACGTAAGTTTAATATAAGCAATAATAGCAGAGCTATGAAAATGGAACCAGATCAAAACTAGGCCATATCCATATCAAAAGGCAACATGGCATATCCTAAATAAAATTCCATAGTAGAATCACAGATCATCAATCAACACAAGATTACAGTTCAACCTCTATGCAGTTACCGTCTTGCTACGTTAGTCTCGACCAATGGGAAAATGTCCCGTGCAACATTATCTCATTCGATAAAAGCTGAAAGGCAAACAATACACACTACATAGTGCAGAATGTCAGTGATGACGGATACAAAAAATTATCCAATGTAGATTACTCATACCCATTATAGATTATCAGTAAAATATGTACAACATACAAACTCATTGAAATCATGGCTACATTAACTACAACAATCAACACGGGAAAAGAGCACCAAAGCTTTCTAACCAAATAGTGTCAGTTTCAACTATCTACAGGCAGAAACTACGGTTACATATGGTAAAACAAAATAGACGGTGTCCTCAAATGACCCCCCCCCAAAAAAAAGAGAAAGAGGAAAAAGAAATGGATTTGGGCACACTGCAATCATGTTATTTACAGCGACACGGTATTGTCTATGATCAACTACGCATCTCAGCTCCTTACCGGGGACTTAAAGCGACTCCGTCCTATGGTCTGGAAATAGCATGCTCACTTAAAAAAAGAACTGAAAAGCCACCATTCCCCACCGCACGTGGCTTTGTTTGCAGCAAGAAGTTTCCATTGTCAGCATGATGGCTTCTTGTCTAACTTTGTTTCTGAAATGCCTCTAAGGAGATCTGTACAAAATTACAACCATGCACTATCACAATGTGAACTTTTAGGACTGAAATTCTTTGGACATAAAACCTGACCTGCAGTTTTTTGGTTACCTAGGTTTTGAACAGTATGACGAGTTTTTTCTGCAAAAGGTGTGAACTTTGAGGAAGCTTAACGGATACTCTTCACGTTGATGTCCTAAAATATTTGCTTGAACCCCGACCACTCCCAATCCAAAAGACTCTGCGTACGGTAATTTCACTGAAAAGTGCGAGGAGGTGTGAGTCAGAAAGTCTCAGAACAAAGTCACGTTCGGTTCTCATTGACAACTGTTTTCTTCTAAGCTTCAACAAACTCATGTTTCTATTTAAAATTTCGATCAAGAAAATACCACATGTTGGACTCCAGATAGGCCCTATGACATTTTGTCGATTAATCCCAATTTGTTTGTTTGTTTTTAAAGCATGTCCTGTTTGATCCAACAGATAACTAGGCGGTGTTTGGATCTAAAGGTAAATTCTAAAAGTGTTCGCTCTATCTTCACTTCGATAAAGACTTCATAAACAAGTAGCCGTCATCTGCTCCTGCTGCTGATGATGATGAGGGTAGCGAAGAGTAGCGTTCCTCGGGGAGCGTTACCGTAAGCGGTTTATCCTTAAGCTCTGGGTCACATTTAGAGTGACTGTTGTCTTTGATGCTGCTCAGGTAGGTGTGCTCAATCGTGGAAGGAGGGTGATCCGACCCGGGTTCATTAATACGTGTGGAGTAACCACTGGCCTCGCAGAAGGAGATGCGATCAGCGGGAATCTCGGCGTACGCGCCCTCATCTGCGCTGCAAAGATCGAGTGGGGTATTAAGCTGTCCAGCACTCGCCATCGGTGGTATTGGTGGTAGTGGGATGTCGCGTTTGTAGGGCTTTGGGCTGTGTTTCCTTTGCCTGACGACCACAACGGCTATGATGACTGCCACTACCACGATGGCCAAGACAGCTCCAGTGACACCAAACATCAGCCCATTGGGTTGGCGGGTCTCTGCTTTTCGGCCAGTCGATGCGACCGTGATTTTCATACCGTCTCCGACTGTCGGGGAAGTGGGCTCTGATCTAATACGGATGGTGGACCCAACTACCGTGGGAGTGGAGGCTACCTGAAGGATGACGGTGTGTCGAGCCTCCCCGGCATCATTGCTCACCACGCACGTGTACAGTCCTTCATGTGCAAAGCTGACATTGGTTATCAATAAATCGTTGCCAGCAATGGCGAATGGCGGCTGAGGCTGGTCTGGGGAGATGCTTGCATGATTTTTGGTTATCCAAAAGATAACCTGTCTGGGATCCGCTTCTATATCACACGGTAAAAAGACCTCCTCGTCCAGTGGAATGGAGATAACTTTTGTTGTGGGGGAGGCTGAGGTTGAACGAGGTGTGCAAGCAAACTGATTGTGATGAAGCCCCTTCACTGATACACCCCTTAAACGGTCAGGTGTAACACAGTCGAGAGATCTACCTCCATTGAGAGTTCCAGTATGGTTGTTCTTCAGCCACGTTGCAAACCCGCGCAGGTTGCAGTCACAGCGGAGAGGATTGCCAGAGAACTGCAGATTAACATTCGATTTGACACTCTTCATTGCTCCATTCACTACGGTTGTCAAATTGTTGCCTTGCAAGAACAGAGTGCTAAGTTGAGTGAGTCCAGCAAAGGCATCCTCCTCGATTGTCGTTAGATTAGTGTAGGCCACAGACAGGATAGACAGCCGAGGGTTGTGAAAGAATGCCTGGGCGGGGATCATCGAGATGGGGTTGTAGTCTACATACAAATCAGTCAGATATGGCAACTGTGCCAATGCAGCGGTAGGTATATCTGTAAGTTTGTTATCATCAAGATTGAGAAATTGAAGAAACGAGGGCTGATGAAAATCATCAGCATTAATCGTCTCAATGGAGTTCAACTGCAAACTGACTGAAGTCAAGTTGGGAAGAGACTTGATTGCCGAAGGGATACTGTTAAACTGATTGCCAACAAGTTCTAGTGTCAAAAGATTTGTCAATCTGTCAAATGCCAAACCAAATAGACCATTGAGGAACGCACTATTTATCCCATTAAGGTAGTTCAGCTTAAGAACTTCCAACGCCACCATGTGTTCAAAGACAGTCATTGAAATCAGACTGGCTGGATTGGACGATAGGTCTAGCATCCGGACGTTGCGTAGGTCTGGAGAGGAGTCGGTTAGAAGTTCCCCAATGCTGTTAACAGCGAGATCCAGCTTCAGAAGTTGAGGGATCGGACTGAAGACGCCACTTGGTAAAGATGAGAGGCGATTGTTTCGCAGATTCAACTCTTCCAAGTTCGGGATCCCCTCAAAAGTACGGTTGGTGAGCGTGCTGATGTTGTTGCTCCCGAGACGTAACTTTCTCAAGCTCCTCAGACCACGAAAGGCGTAATCCTCTATCTCACTGATGCGATTGTTGTAGAGATATATTTCCTGAAGCTGGGAAAAGTCTGAGAAGTCGCCGGCTGCCAACTTTGTGAGCTGGTTGTATTCCAAATAGAGGATGCGTGCATCGCTGGGGAGCCCAACGGGAATCGCTGTCAGGCTCTGATATCCACATCGAACTGTTACGTAGGAATTACAACGGCACACGCTTGGGCAAATCGAATGCGTTCCTTGTGAGAAAATCAACAGTCCCGTCATGAGAAGACTTAAACTAAAGGGTCGACTCGGAGGAATAACAGTTGACAAAGGCATGGTTTCAAGACATCAGTGTGAGCTGTCTACCGTGAGAAAATGCTACGACAAAAGACTGGTGCTGTGAAACTGAAAAATAAAGAACAAAAAGAGTGTTTGAAATGAACAAGTTGAATCACTCAGTTTGTACCTCAAACAATGAAATGTAATGTCATCGGTCCCATATAAAACATAAAGCAATAATAGGACCAGGAAGTTCCGTGGTGGGCCGAAGGCTACACTCTATTTATCCCGTTGTGCAAATTTCCTGAGGGTTTCTGGTATCCATCCATTGTTAAGCCGAGTAGTTAATAATACATAAAAGCTGAAGGGGAAGTTGACACGTGTTTGTTTCGCTGTACTTCTTGTTTTCTGAGTATTCATTACCTAGTCCGATGATGAGACATGTCAACACACAGCTGATAATCACCGTTTGATTTCATACTAATGTAGCATATCTTCTTATGATTTCTATATTCTTTAGCTATTCGCTATTCTTTAAATTTAATTCATTGGATTTATAAAACAGAAGGAGCTGAACACATATTTCCATCCAGGTTTCGTCGTGTACTAGAATCTCGAAATAATTCAGACATACTTTGAACCTTAAGCTACTTCCCGAATGGATCAAATATTACGAAATACCCTCCACTCTTTGGAATGTTTAATGCATACCAGTATGTCACACAGATGAAAAATGTGACCCACTCTGTGAAAATGAGTCTTAAGTTGCCAGAGCCACTTCTAAGTTTTCATTTGTACTGGAAAGAGCAAATTGAGTTTTTTTGTTTTGATGTATCACTCAGTTTGGCATCCTGATGAAAGTGGATACTCCATGGTGAAAAATGCTGTGGTTTCCTATTGATTTACACTGTGCAAAATTATTCTAAAGGACTTTTTACTCCTAAGTGGCTCTGGCGACTTAAGACTCATTTTCACAGAGTGGGTCACAAATGTGTGTTTGGTAATGCAATTAGTCCTCTCATAGTGTTGTACATGTACGTCTTGCAGAACACTATTATAGACCACTCTCATTTTGCCTATAACTTGTATCTTGCAGAAATATCACCGTTTGGTTGGTTTTCGATTTAGCCTGAAATTCATTCAATATGGACATTCGTCCCAGTCATTTGAATTAGGGTTGCATTTTCATGTAGTATTTAGTGGTATCTATGCTATTATCTGGAGTTCTGATAGCTGCTTGTGAGTTTAACACTTTGTGAATGACTCTTTTACTTTTGTACCGACGGCCAACCATAGATTTAGCAGTCACTTGTAGGAAGAACACGACTGCGACGTCAAGAGACCAGGCCCTATTGGTACCAAATAACAGATGAAAGATTCACAGCTGTGTGTTTCAGCATTTGAAAAGTCACGCATCCAAAACGTGTTCTTTTGTTGAATAATTTTGGGTGAAATTACGCCCCTTGAGCAAAATCCAATTCCTCTAGGGCTGTGATAAAAACACCCCCCCCCATCTTGTAGGCGGGTAGTAACGTGCACGTACAAGGACTGAGTGATAAGAGCATTGCTGAACTGTCATCCTGGTTTTGTTCCGTTTCTGTGTGTTGTTTTGCTTTTCTTTCCACCCCCAATCTATCGCATACACTCCTCAAGGCGAATGCAAGGGCAAATCAAGAACCTTGGGAGGTGGACCAAACTGTTGGGAAACAAATTGTGGAAGTGTCTGGAACCTTTTATCGCCTTTCGGATTTAGGTTACGTTTTGGTGTGTTTCAGTTGCCTTTCCCATCGGCCCTTGGGCCAGTCAGAGTTGCAACGACCCGAGTCAATAACATCGTTAGAATTCTGGCGACTGGACTCGAGTCTCGACGGGTAAATGATGAGACTCGAGTCACGTGTGAGGAAATGACTCGACTCGAGTCGCTCATATTTCACTAAAATGTTTCAGAGGGGGATATGTTCCCCCCCCCACACTTTTCCAAGTGGGGGATATCAATTGCCTCCCCCACACTTTTTTCCAAAGCCTAAATGAAAATGTATAGCTTGCCAAAGCATTTGTTAATAAAACTGGCTAAAGTAGCCAAAAATTGTCTACACTCCAAAATTTTCCGGGCCCGCCATGCTGCTCAGAGCTTCGCGCTCGCGTTTGTTCGATCAGGGCTGTATCACCTCCCCCAACCACTTTTCAAAACGGATTGACGCCCTTGACACTGTAAGATTCATAAGTTTAACTTATATGTGTTTACCAGATATTTCGCAAGACTGTGGCGCCGTTTCTGCATTTCACAGGCGAGTAACTCTGCCTTTGAAAGAACAAAACGCACTCTCCCAATGTTTCGATCGGACATGTTAACCTTACCTGGCTGATGTGGGGAAGTCCCATGAAATTACCACCGGCTCTTCATTCACTCGCACCAGTCGTCTGTGACTCACACAATGGAGTCACATAATGCCGAGCGGGGTCAAAATGCCTATCGTCGAAATTCCAGGATTTGTTTGTCACGTTTGCTCGGGGAAAATGACTAAACGTCCTCGTCCGTCTCAACATACGGGGTTTAGCTGGTTTGTGAACAATTGCCGTCTGGAAAACCTGTTTCTACGTAGCCTTTTGAAGCTATGCAGGCTGATGTCGATATGGCGCGGTCGCTAGTCTTGATTCAATTCAAGTCTTGATACCACCAGTCCAACGCACGTAATGCAAAGCTGAAGGCGCAGTGAATGGGTTTTGTTGTGCGTGTGCAGAGAAGGATTCGGTGCTTTGCATAATGTTTCACTGGATCTTTTCGTCCTGTTTCTATGGCAGAGGTCAGCACCCACGACCCAAGCATTGTCATCACTGGTGTAATTTTACACCAGGCTGCCTTAGGCCCCCCCCCTCAGACTCCGGTTTCTGGTCATGGGCTTGGTGCGGTGACGCGTTTTTCCCCCTCTTTTTTTCCTTAGAAGTGGTGCACATGCAGATATAATTTAGAGCGCACAGCCTTGTTACTATGAGGAGTGTGAATTAACAACTTTGAATTTATAAAAAGACCACAAAATATGACCAGAATTAGCAATGGTTTCAGTCATCTCACTTGAACAGGAGGCTTCTATTCTTGGCAAGACTGAACTCGTTAAAATGCAGTAGCACGACCCCAATGGAAAATTAAATGTGAAAATAAATGTCCAGCTCCATTTTCTGCTTTGAAATGAAATTCTCATGAAGTAGCAGTATATGACATTCTTTGCACATTGTTTTCTGCTTTAGCTTAGAGGAAAAAGTTGCAAGTCAAATATGAACAAAATAAATGAAAACAACCAATTTTGGATACAGACCTTCAAAATGCACCTTTGAGGCTCAGTTAATATTATTTTCAACTTTTATTTCACAATTTCAAAGCGTAATTTAATTCCTTTTTGCTTTTACGCTAATGAGTATTTCCATTATTCATGGAAACACTGTGATGTTTTCTCTGGAAGAAGCTTCAATGTTACATTAATTTGTACACAAAACAGTTCTGCATTTTTGTTGATTTGGGTGGACTTATGTTTCTGTTCTTTGTTGATTCATTGTTGTTTATGTGCATATAGAATAAGCAAGAATCAAACCCTTTCTCAGAACTGTTTTCAGTAGAAAGTAGATTCTGGGTTTACAGTCCGAACAGAAAAGCCAAGATGACTTCATAGCAATTTGAACAGCACCCTCAAAATCCTGGACCCAGGCCTGGAAATCATGGATAATTCTCATTGTTTTAAAAGTGCACTTTTCAATAGATTTAACCAAATAGGAATGTGAAAGAGTTTTCTTACATTGAAGAATACACAGTCGAAGAAAAAATGTGTCTCAGAAAAAGTTCATTGGAGCTACACTTTTAGTGTGGGCACAGACCTTTCTGCGATCAGCCAAAATGTCATAACAATGCCTCGTGAACTTAAGTCCAAGCAAAATCGTCCGCTTTTTTAACCATGTGTTTTGCTGCTAAAAACTATGGCTGGCCGACAGTTCAAAAGTAAAATAACTTAAAATTTGTCAAAAATCCCACACAGCTATCAACTTGAACACCAGATAATAATGCTCGAGCTTAGAAGTAATAAATGAAACTCCAGCCTGTTTTCATGAGATTCAGGAGACATAGGAACATTTTGGAGGAATTTGCAGTAAATTCTCGAAAACAACCAAGGGTGATTATCCTGCAAAGTTTGGCCGCTCATACAAACTGTAGATAATATGAAAGTGGTTTATAAGGCCTTCGGTAACCTAGTTTTGGACAATTCAATCGCACCTGTATGTACGGAGTTTCAGAAATGCCAACCGGCACGTTCTTGTTGAGATCGTAACAGATTTTAATCTCAGTCTGACAACAAATTACTGAGACGTCGTCTGCATTGATCCTAAGGTGATTATTGTCACAGGTCCCGAGATACTTTACGACGGCGTGTTGACTCTGTTGAAGTAGAATGAGTTTCAGAGAAAGAAAAAAAATTGGTGTAATTTTACATAGTTGGGTGACACTTCTTGAGCTCCGTAAACGTAAGACAGTTGTTGATCGAGTTCTTCTTACATTCATCTAAACCGATGAGCTACTAATTCAAGCTTACTGCCAACATGTGACTATTAAATAGGTAACATTACGTAACTTGCGATAAACGCGATCGAGTTTGTTGTCAATAAAGCTCCCCGAGTATATACCTATATAAAAGTGAATAGATGGAAAATAATCTGCGTACCTAACAAATTATAACCAGACTTTGAAATGAGTCACGAAACACCCTATGGGGGGGGCCTAAAATGACAAAAGGAGCCTCTAGGCTCATGTTAGTTTTTAACTAAGCAACTGCTTATCTCTTTTATCCCAATATTGGTTTTATTTTGGGCAAATACAATAATATATAAGAAACATTAAATTATTCAGAGTAAACGAATTTTAAAAACAACCGCATTTAAGAAGATATTAAATGCAAAAATGCTAGGCATTTTCTAGAACAAGATTGATAATTTTATGCTTAGCGCAATGGCAGTCCACATGTTAGACTGGTAGTCATAAATTCAAATAAATGTAAAATTATGATTGAGCGCTATTAAACTAGTACGTGTAAAACTCGCCAGAGGTCGGGTGTCTTCGGCCCAGCCCTTTGTTGGCACAAACCCCCCGTCCGGTTTTGGGATTCTACTGTAAAACGACCCAATCGAACTTTGATTTGCTTGTCAATAATAAGAAGTCGGAATTTTTCCCAGGAAATATGAATGCCTCTAAATTCTGAGAACTCGTGGCATTGAAGCTCGGGTTGAGCTCACTTCCTAAGGGCAAAATGAAGCCATAATGAGGATTTTAAGGCACTGTAATAGCTACAAATCAGAATGTTCACAGGTACCGTAATTTCTATACATGACATAGAAATTTAAGAAAACCCTTGTATTAAGAATGATTCATTCCAATGTCATGAAAATCAAAAAGAATAACAGCTAATTATAACATATCAATTTGACAAAAGATAAAATAAATTGGAGGTAAAGCTTGTTAGAGAAATAATTCGAGCTAAATTTAATTAAGGTATAAATATACAGCGCTGTGCAACAGATACTCGATAAGTGTAAATTGAACACTAAACCTATACATTGTAGCCCTACACAGCCTCATGTAAAAAAGTACAGAATCACTCGTGACGTAATTGACACCCCAAATACTTTCCTGATGATTATGCTGTATTGATAAAAAATTAACTCTTTTTGTTACGAACGCGTTTGTCTGGAGATGGTTTCATATTTTCCACAAAGCCATAATCGTTCATCGGCCCACCGTCCGGATGCTGCTGAACGTTCGCTGCTTGCCAACCGTCTGGATGCTGTTGTTGCAATTTGGCTGCTGGGCTACGGTCCGGATGCTGTTGTTGGACGTTGGCTGCTGGCCCACCGTCCGAATGCTGTTGCACGTTGGCTGCTGGCCCACCGTCCGAATGCTGTTGTTGCACATTGGCTGCTGGCCCGCCGTCTGGATGCTGATGTTGCACGTTGGCTGCTGGCCCACCGTCCAAATGCTGTTGTTGCACGTTGGCTGCTGGCCAGCCGTCTGGATGCTGATGTTGCACGTTGGCTGCTGGCCCACCGTCCAAATGCTGTTGTTGCACGTTGGCTGCTGGCCCACCGTCCGAATGCTGTTGTTGCACA